ATGGGTACAAAATGATATGTATATAATAACTGCCACTGTTATACTGGTAATGGGTCATTATACTTTTGTTGATATGGACAGATACTGACTGTTTAACATTCAGATGACTTGAAATATTGAAGAAGGCATTTCCTTGCCTTTAAATTGTCATTGCGTAAAAAGGTGTCTCGGTTTGTGTTTTAGCGCAGCCACTACTTTTATCATTTGGGTATAAGTTTTGGTGTTGACATATGGTAAAATGCTTTCTCCTGATAAAAGTTATGTTTCAGCATGCTTACCGAATGATATGTATATAATAACTGCCACTGTTATACTGGTAATGGGTCATTATAATTTTGTTGATATGAACATATACTGACTGTTTTATATTCAGATGACTTGAAATATTGAAGAAGGCATGTCCTTGCCTTTTTAATTTGTCATCGCGTAAAAAAGTGTCTCGGTTTGTGTTTTAGTGCGGCCACTACTTTTATCATTTGGGTATAAGTTTGGTGTTGACATATGGTAAAATGCTTTATCCTGATAAAGTGATATGTTTCAGCATGCTTACAAAATGATATGTATATAATAACTGCCACTGTTTATACTGGTAATGGGTCATTATACTTTTGTTGATATGGACAGATACTGACTGTTTTAACATTCAGATGACTTGAAATATTGAAGAAGGCATTTCCTTGCCTTTAAATTGTCATTGCGTAAAAAGGTGTCTCGGTTTGTGTTTTAGCGCAGCCACTACTTTTATCATTTGGGTATAAGTTTGGTGTTGACATATGGTAAAATGCTTTCTCCTGATAAAAGTGATGTTTCAGCATGCTTACCGAATGATATGTATATAATAACTGCCACTGTTATACTGGTAATGGGTCATTATAATTTTGTTGATATGAACATATACTGACTGTTTTATATTTAGATGACTTGAAATATTGAAGAAGGCATGTCCTTTTTACTTCCTTGTACGAAGTAAAAAGGAAGTATTGTAATCGCGAAAAGTTTCAGGCAGCATATTTCACCGAAAATATCCATTTTGACCGCTATCGAATGCAATTTAACGATGTTTTTGCACCATATCTGTACGTAAGGACAGAATAAAATACTCTTTTCCTTCAAAAAAATTATAAAAACTGCTTAAAAAACTGAAACTAAAATTAATTCTGAAGAGAATTTTTCGTGGCTTCTGTACGAACGTATGTACGTACGTTCGTGCGTACGTACATATCTCACATAACTCAAAAACGAGTAGCCTCAGAACGTTGAAATTTTGTATATAGGACTGCTATAACATGTATATGTGCACCTCGTATTTTGGTTGCAATCGGCCACACCAAACGTATATAAATATATTTATATATATCCACTCTATGACTTGAAATATTGAAGAAGGAATTTCCTTGCCTTTAATTTGTCATCGCATAAAAATGTGTCTGGGTTATGTTTTAAGTGGCCACTACTCTTATCATTTTGATATAATTTTTGTGTTAACATATGGTAAAATGTTTTATCGAGGTAACAGTTATATGTTTCCAGCATGATTAGAAAATTGTATGTTTATAATAGCTGCTGCTATTATACTGGGAATGGGTCATTATAATTTTGTTCATATGGACATGCACTGACTGTTTTATATTCAGAGCACTTGAAAGATGATAATATTGAAAAATTCATTTTCGTGCTGTTGAGTGTTTGCTGCATAAAATGGTATCTGGGTTGTATTTAAATGGCTACCACTTAATGTTTAGTAAGTGGTTATCATTTGGTGTTAACATACTGTAAAATGCTTTCTCATGATAAAAGTTGTGTTTCAGCATGCTTACAAGATGACAAGTTTATGGTAACTGCTGCTTTTATACTGAGAATGGGTCATTATAATTTATATTTTTTATATGGGCATGTACTGACTGTTTTACACTTAAAAATATTGAAAAATTCATTTCCTTGTCTTTAATTTGTTGTTGTGTAAAAAAGGGTCTATGTTGTGTCTTTAAGTGGCCATTACTTATATCATTTGAGTATAATTTTCATGTTACCATATGATAAATTACTTTATCAAGATAACAGTTATGTGTTTCAGCATGGCGACAAAATAACAGGTTTGTAATAACTCCTACTATTATTCTGGGAATTGGCTGAATAAAGGGTGTCTCTGATTAGGAGCACTCATTTCACAAACCTGTGATTTTCATGTGCATTTTGAAATTACCGGTGTCCCATAATTAAGACTGGTGGCTTTCTGGACAAATCATTTTGATATATTCTTTGCTTAAATTAAACAAGCCTGATAGCGAGTAACTTAGAAGATCACGATTTTAGCTTGGAAAAATTACAACAAAATTGTGTTGCATGTAGTGACCAGATACTTTCAAATTGGATACTGGTGCATAGGTAAAACATTTTTATTATTTTCTATATTTGAAACATTAACTGATAATCACTTCCTTTACACAACATCAATAAATGTTTTTACATATACTGGTGATGCTGACATCCATTTGCTGTTGAATGTATCTTTATATGCTTCATAAATAATAATAGCCATCGTATAAAATTTAATATCATTTGTGCACCTGAAGTGTTTTAAATGGTAATGGACGGTCTTCTCAAGTGTTTGCCCGATATTTATCCATATTATGGCAGTATCGTAATACATTTTGAAACTATTAATTGGCTGTTGTAAAAAGTTAATAACGGTGTTTGTAATTGCCAGACAAAATGGGTTGAAATTTAACGAATAGAAACTTGAACTTGCAGTATCAAAATTTAAATATTAAGGTCACATAGTCTCATCTTATTGTTTCTGATGAGACCCAATTAATATAGAAGCAGTTTTGAAATTTTCACACCTGTTAATAAATAAGAATTGATGAGATTTCTTAGTATGGCAATATGCTTAATGAGATTTCTGCTTCAATTTTTACAAGAAAGTTTGAATAATTTATTGATAAAAAGAGATCAGCTGGTTTTAACTTATTTGTATGTTATAACTTAGGTGTTGTGTTGTTATGCTGACTGCTTGCATAAAATTGTAAATAAAATTTTTTTTATTTTTCACTTGTGAATCTTTATTTTCAAGTTCAGCTATATAACTAACACAATACAGTTAAGTACATATACAACTAATATTATTGGTTCTACAGATTTAAGCAATAATTTTAAATTGCACATTGAATTATTTGCTAAGCAAACCTCTGATATACTAATTTATTTGAAACTTGCAAGACACATAGCATATTATAGACAAAATTTAGTGCATTTTTATACCATTTTCTTTTAAAGACAAATTACTGATTGGAAGAAAAATGAAATGATAAGTAATAGTTTGTATGCAGATAATTTGGGTTTTTTCATAAATATTAGAAAAATATAAAGCAATATTAAATTATGAGGGAAAAGTCAGAAATTCCTTTTTTGAGTTAGTATGGCTGATTTTTAACTTTTTAAATGCTGCTGTGAAACCTACAAGGAAGTATAATTCATTAAAGTCAAGAAATAAGAAACAAAAATTCTTAAATTTATGTCAAATTTTATTGTGTTAAATTTTGAAGTAATTAAATTATTCATTATATATAATTGAATCTCTGAATAAAATCCCACCCAAGTATCTATATCAAATAGTGAAATCAACGTTAAGTACGGCACTAGCGCGCAGCCTGTTTTGTTTCGTTGCTCTCTCGGGGTTTCGACATAGACGACTACGCGTGACGTCACAATCCAGTGTCCCGGCTTCCTTCTATAAGGAGGTGTTGTTCCAACACGTCCTCACAGTAAAATTAGAACGGCGTACCTGACGAGCTACTCGCCAAGCTGACACCATTTCCATCATTCCGAGATCTCCCTCAATTCTACAGCTGCGATTTGCTTCGATGCGCGTAACGGCACGTCACTTCGTTTGTAGCAAAAGATAATCACTAAAAAGCCTGCTTATCTGTTTTATACTCCAAGAAGAACGAAGTTTAACGCCCTCTATTGGCATTACGCAATCACGCTGCATCTCTAATCATTTGCATACCTGTCTAACTTGACATGTACCTTCATGCCAAGGTTCGTTACGATCCCACAATTATTTCTTGATGCGCAAATTTTTATGGCAATGAGTGTATATACCCACCCCTTTTACGGCTTTTATTTTAGCAATCGTTTGTCGTTGTTATGTACTTCCAGCTACGAAAGTGTTTTAAATGATGAAAACATTCATATTTTGGCAATGTCAAATTAAAAGAAGATTAATTTTCGAAAGATAACGAAATTTAACTTATAATGCGGTCTTCCGATTCCTGTACTTATATTTGACAAAGTTTTATACTCGTTATGAGAGAAAATTGTAAGAAGACTGAACTCCCATACGAGCAAATTGAAATATAAAAATCTGCAATTTTTGATGTCATTTTCATTTTGGCATAATGAATCAGTTAATTAAGTTAGAATAATCCGAGAAAATAATTTTAAATGAAGTTCAGGAAAAATATGCATAATTTAATAGACCGTACGACGAAGTCGTGTGGTATCCGTATCAGAATTTTTGTATTTTATATTTAGGATCATAATTAAGATCTCCTAACTATGAGATCGTAATTAGGTTATCAGCATCATAACAATGTTATACTAATGCTAGAAGCAAAATGCATTAGCTTGATCCTAACAATGATGAGCAAATCATCATTGTTAGGATCAAAGCTTCTCATTTTCATGAGTAACATGCGTTGTTAATTTGAAGTATATTTCTCAGATAAACAATGAATTTTGTTTAGTGTTACAATTCATTATTGACCTTGAAATGTGAACTTCCGTTTCTCTATCTTTGTACTTATTTTATTCAAAAGCCCGAATCTGAAGGCAGTACAAACCTCAAGCTGTTAGTTATTTGAACGCAGTGCAAACCACAAGCTGTCATATATGTTCGGATAAACTGCTCATTTACAAACATTGAATAATTAAAAAAAAAAAAAAAACCTCTTATAATTTAAACCTCCTCTAGAATACGATTTTGGGGATTTGAACTCATGTCAGAATATCCTTTTAACAAGATGCTGCTCCTAGGATTTCGTGGTGATCAGGTATGGTGAACTATCAGTAATGAGCCGAAAATAATTACCGAAAACAATTCGAGCTTATTCAGTATGATTATTTTAATAATATATTATGTGAATTTTCGATTAAATACCAATATTAATTACGGTGCTAAGAATTATTGTGACTTTGCATTTATTCATTGTGTGAATTAGTTTCTTGTTGCGTATTTAATATGGAATATACCTTCATTCAATATGAAAAATAGTAAGTTTACATATTGTAATTCATTATGTATGTTCAGTTTTGTATGTTAAATCGTAATTCAACTTTGCATGTTATTAAGCCGTAAACTAAATGTGTCTTTATCAGCTTGACGGTTCAGTTTAGGCTAAATACTAAGGTGCATAGTATAAGTATTACGGCCTATTATTGCCAATAACGTCTGTACAACTTACAACACAAGAACTTGCTAACTTTCTAATAAATTAATCACCTGGCGTAAAAGCCACTAATATTTGATAATTTTAAATACCTAATCAACAAGATACCACCTACATATATTCAAACGCTAACTACAGGAGTTTTAATTTCAATTTCTACTCACAAAATTTCTCAATGTGTAACTATCGAGCATTGCAGAAACTGAAGATGTGGGGGAAAATATATCAGAAGCCGCTCCTTGGCGAAAATTAGCGATTTTTTGGCGCCAATCGTATTTATGTGCAACGCCCTGCCAAATAAAATGACCAGAAAACATAATTAAAACATTAGTTATAATAATAATCTGAATGAAATGCATTTTAAATGAAAATAAAACAAGGAAATAATAGAAAAATGGAAATGCGCAGTAAAAAAAGGAAATACCAACTTACAGGGAAAAATTTATTATCACTATAAATGAAACAACATCTTGGCAATAATCCAAGGAGCATCTCGAAATGTAAATCTTGAAGCTAGAATTAATCTTGCTAGGCTTAAGATAAATTTAAGTTAAGAAACAATAGTATTAAAAATTTACCTTTATATAACCGATACTTACATTAAATTTCTGACCGGACGAATTATTTATTTTGATTTATCTCACATGTCAGATAGTAACATCAGAACAAGTAAACGACTTTTATCGTGGCGAAGCATCTGTCGTTAGTATGGGCCTTGAGTAGCTTATAGTGACAGGACGACTTTGTCCAGCTCCGTCCTAATTTTGGAAGACAATTTTGATTCTTGGACACGTCCTTTCGGGACAGCCACCCTTCTTTTCCTACCGAAAAGCAACTCGAGAGGACTTTCTCATTGTCGTGTATTTTAAGTGTCTCATCATTACAAAGACACTATACATTTATCAGCATCCTAGCCTTCTCCAGGATTTAAAAGCAGGTCAAACAATTAACACAATTATCCCAATATGCCTTACCTAAAACACTGCAAAATTCCTTCAAAATGCAGCAGATAGCTTGGCAAGTAGAACAATTTTAACCTCTGGCAGCATAAGGAATGGCATAATATGCTTATGTATAGAGGTGTCGTATCTTTATGCAAGCTTTTCGAAGAGAAAAATATCTTCATAGCGGTGCCGTGGCATAAGGGAACGGGAACGTGCACAAATTGAAGCTCAGTTTCTAGCTTGAATCTGATCTTCAGTACCCTTACTCCAGTCTGACTTTTTTCATTAAGGTGCTTTCAACCTTATGCAAGGTCTGAGTTTCATTCCAGTTACTGAGTAATTAATTAAGCATGGGATGAAATAAATCTTTGATACCTTTATCGAAAGCAGAGACTTTGTATAGAGGTGCCTGCATCTTCATGAAAAACGCTTAATCGTTATAAAGTGACCCGCACCTTTAGGAAAAACGCTAGAATGGCATGGTAGTGCCAAAGAAAGTATCCTCACTTGGGTATGTGCTCAAGATAAGGATGTAAATGCAATAGAAATGTGAAAGTTTGGAATATAAAGCCAACTGAGCTTTTCTTTGCACTCAGCGTTGCAATATTTAAGTAAAAAGTCTGATGTGGACACCACATGACTTCCTTGTACGGCCTATTAAAATTATGCACATTTTTTGCTGCATTTCATTTAAACTTATTTCCCCGATTTTCGTTAGGGATATATATCTCATTCCATCAAAGTTCTTACTTTGAGCAAGAAAAAATACATAAAAACTAAAAATAACTTCATTGAAAATTGTAAAATCAGAAAAACCTAAAACAACAAATACAGTTAAAAACCGTTAAAAATAATTTTTACAATTAAAATTAAAGTCAATTTAAATTAAGCAGAAAAACAGATTTTGAGGTGCACAAAACTTTTGGCCACACTCGGCAAAAAGGCACTGAAGAAGGTGCAGGTACTGACTTAATTCACTATGCTATTAAGTTTCGAAGCTATAACAAATGGCGGCGTCGTTAGGCTTCGTGGAACTTAAGCAACTTTTAACGATTATTCTACAACTATTGCATACAAATTAACTAAAGGTATAAAAACCTTAACATAAAAACAATGTAATTAAATCAATTTTAAACAAAAAATGCACAATTTACCAACATACAAGAATAAATAAAAAATCTTAGCTCACCGAGCCGGATAACAGAGTGACTATATATATGCATAAATTTATATACTTTCTTTGCGGACTGCAAATAAAAAAGGAGGAGGTGCACAACTGCATGTCATAGAAGTTCCATGTACAAAATTTCAAACTTCTGGAGGCTACTCGTTTTTCAGTTATGCGAGATATATACACGTACGCACAGGCGTTAAAGCAAAAAAAAATTCTTCTAGATCCATTTTAAATTTATTTCACAATCTGTTTTGGGGAAAGGAGTCCTTTATTCTGTCCTACGTACAGTTGTAACGCAAAAACATCGTTCAGATGGAATCGAGAGCGGTCAAAATGGATATTTTCGTTGAAATACGATACCTGAAATTTTTATCTCCCTTATAACGTTGCTGTAAAGATTTCTATCTTGTAGAAAGAGGAAGACTTGCAGAAAGGTGTGGCAAAAAACTTTCTGACCAATTGTCACATATGAAGTTTGTGTACGACTTTAAGAACCCTTATTTAATGCAATAGATCTTTTAAATATTGTAACATGTTATCTTTAGAAGAATAAAATTCTAGAAAATCTTTTAAAATACTTAATAAAACAATAACGCAATATCAAACAAATAATTTATAGTCACTGATTTTCCAGGAATAAATTAGTTTCTTTTCTATGCACTTCGCAAGAAGTTGTTCAGATGTTAAATTTAATAACGTAAATAAATTAAGTGAGACCACTTATACTGTGATTAATTAATTAAATCATTTACGTGATCAAAATTTCAAAACAATTTATATATATATGTTTTAATCAGTGTGCTGCTTGCAGGCACGGGAGATTGTAATGATACTTTCAGTATTGTAGGCCTGATTTTAAAATTGTAAATAACAGCCATTTTAAATCGAATTGGCGTAAAGCAGATCTATTATGTAATGCGTTTTCTATAACCAAAGTATGCTAACTTGATTAAACTATGTTAATGTTGACATTTTAGAATTGAAATTAAGATAAAAATTTATTTGCATGTTAAATTGATGTTAACTAGTAACTGATTAATTACTTATATTCATATTCAAAGGCAGACTGCAGTTTTATTGTGTAAGTATTGTTCAACAGTGGGTCTGGATAATGAAACCATAACAGATCTTGGCTCATCCATTAAAACTGAACATCCAGGTTAGTAATCATCTGATGATAAAGGGAATGACTGTGTATTACATGAATCGTCAGGAAATGTAAAGGAGACATGATGGGACCTGGGAAGATATCAACATAAAAATGCCCTATCCCTAAAGCAGGCGTATATTTACTCAAATCATCCACTTTTCGTGAGGCTAGAAACCTACATAAAGATACTCCTCGGCATAACGAAGGCCGCATCTTTATGCAGATCAGTTTCTAACTTGAAAAAAAAAAAATCTTTAAAGATGTGGACATTTTCTGTACCAAGGCATCGTTGTGCATGTTGAATAAGAAGGATTTTCATTTCCTTTGTTATTGAGATTGGCAAACTGAGAACCCTACACTGCCCAGCCGCAAAGGTGGCCCTGCCTTTATAAAGGCTGCTTTATACTAGTTGAACACTTACCGTTATGAGTTTAAAAATACCATTGGCCATGATATCCTTATAAAGATTTCCGTATTTTCGAACAGTGATTCACTTGCGGAAAGGAGCAAACCCCTTATTAATTGTTCGAACCTGTCTGATGCTTTCATTTTAAACACGCGTTGCGGAAATGATAATGTTTTGTCTAAATTATTAAGTAGAAGTTTTAGTGAATAATTTATTTCCAGTGACATTTCAAATCGTTTTGAAATCCGTGTATACATTTAGTTCCCATTTAATATAAATTCATAATGCAAAATACTATAAACTATATATTAAATTTGGTACACAGTGGTCAATGGATGTGCTTATGAAAACATAAAAACACGTTGTGTTTTTCATTTTCTCTTTTCGGGAGGACTGGCAGATTGTTAGCTCTATCAGTGAGAAATTATGTATTTATGCAAAAATATTTACACTTGATTTATAGGATGTTTCATAACTAATGGAGCATGTTTTAAGGGATGCTAGAACATACGAAAAGAAAAAATTTTTTTCATAGAATCCATATCGCACGCTAAGCGGTTAGGCAAAAGGTTTTTAAGTTTTCAAATGCATGCGTCTTTTGCAACGCGCAGATGACGATATTTGCTTTTTTTCGTTCTTACACTGTTTCTTTCCAAGTTGATTATGAAGGTACATGAGCTATGGACCTGGTGGCTAGCTGCGAATGTAATGCAGAGGGCAGATGCCTAGTTCATTGAAAGTATTAAAGACCCATAGCCTAATTAAATCTGGAGCTGAGGTTCATTCTCATGTAAGGATGAAAGATGGGATAAAGATTTGAGACGATTGTTTCTTATTCCAAACTCACTTGAGTGACTTTGAAGAACTTCAAGGCCTTTAAGAATTAACTACATCAAATATAAAGTAATCATTTGAGAAGGAAAGCCATGCCATAACAGTATATGCTGTCATAAGGAATATATGCAGTCAATATACATGAAAAGTACAAAATATAAATACAATAAAAACTGAAATGAATACACAATAATGGTCGTGCATGTGAAAATCACCACTTTTAGACGCGCGCTTAAAGGCGTCTCCTGCAGGAAACAGAAAGACAGAAGACGGATACGTTCTATGACGGAAGACCTTTTAAACCCGCGCCTAAAAGCATCTTCTGTGGGATGAAAGCGAGCCTAATGTTTAATGTAGGACTATGTGTTCTATGACGGAAGTATTCATTTCGGTATGTTCCATCACCGTTTTGAAGTTTGTTCCATTTTGACAAATAAACATTTCTAATTTTAATGTAGGTTTAAGTTGCGTTTTATTAAGGCTTTGATTTCGCTTTGGTGCTTTACCCTGATAACATTTTTCAATATTTTAAATGCTTATTTTATCATTGATCTCTAGAAAAGAGCTAAGAATCCTCAGACACTCGTCTACAACAAAGGCGTCTCCGTGGCCAAGGATATTTGCCCTCCCCCTACCACCAAAGAGGCTTGGGATCTCTTGGATGCTCAGAACAAGGCTCTCATAAGTAAGGACAGATTAATAGAGCTCACTTATGGGCCCAAAAAACCACATGTAAAGAACTTCCTACCACGATATGCAGAACTGGACAGAAAAGTAAGTAGCAATAGCTTTAAAGTAATATCCTTTATCGGCGGATAATGCCTTCACAAGATTTATCGCCAATGCTATGTGAAAAAAGCTCGATAGCTATGTGAAAAAAATCAGTCGTGTTGTGGGGTTCCACCCTTTTATCTAATAACTAAATGTGGAGGAGCCTAATGAACAGCTAAGAGAATAATCGCTTTAGTTCAAGAACAGAGACGTAAACTCGAGAAGGGTTAACTAGCCTTTATTGCTCAAAATAAGAGTTTAACGGATGGCCTCTTTCTCAGGGCGTACAGCGAAGCCTTCATTTGAGCTTGAACTCAAAATAATAAGAAATAAGACTGAACTAATGGTTAATTAAAGAGATATAGCCGAAGCTATCAAATTTCTAAGTAGTTGGCCCCTAAATATCGAATAAGTTAGCAAAGCTATCAAGGGCCTCTAATACGGCCGAGCGTAGTAACAGCTTAGAGGGTCGTAGCCAAAAGACAAACGCGCGTTGATCAGAAACTCTGAGGCTCTCTCTCGAAGTCAGTGGAACTTCGACTTAAATACTAGTCTTACTCATTTGCATTGAACACGATTCTAAAAACACATTCTGGTAGGAAATTGTAAGCTGAAATCAGGATAGACAAGAAAGTAGCTTAAACTAAAAATAACTGTTGAAAAATATAGGATAAACCTTACAGTGTAACTTGCATATTTACAGGATTAATCGATAAATGACGCGCTGCAAGGTATCACCAAACTTAAGTAAAGTAAAATGAAAATGCATGACGTCATGTTACATTATGCTATTAAATAAAGTAATTAGAAATGTTCATTAGAAGTTCAAACAACAGCAACAGACGTTAATTTTGATAAATCAGCAGTGAGTTTTTAAAATTTTACTGCAGAATATTCTTCTTTGGCTGCAGGAGTGGAAATGGCGAAAGACTAAGCTTGTGCTCAAGCGATACCAGTGAAAACATAGACTAGAAAATTGTAGAAAGCTGCATAAAAGACTGAAACGCAGCTCTTCTTTTGCTTCTTACTAATCCCTCTGATCTGAATCAGATCAGATCCATAAGTTCTTTCGCCTTCATAATTTTCAACACAAAATTAAGTCTCTTCAACAAATCTTCAAGCACCAAGTCAACACAACTAAGCAGATGTTGCGCAGTAGCTTTATGGTTTTCACATTTGGCGGAAGTTGGAAATGTTTTAGTGCCAAGGGAATATCTGAGGGTCTTTAACTGTTTTGAAGTCAACCCAGCCAAAGCCTTCCTGTCACCCTTGAAACCAACAGCAGTACCAGGACCTGCACTACGATACCATGAGTGTGTCGGTAGCTGTCTCCAAGCAAAACGCAGCTACTGGCGTCATCTGCTGACAATAAATGCCACCCAGCCGGCATAATGATTACTCTTGTTGATTGCCACACCAATGGACCAGGGTACAAATCCTGGAGAAGGCATTCACTCATTTCACTTTCGAAGTTGAGACATCTAAATCCCTTCCGTTCCTCGACATCATGGTCACACGAAATACATATAGTTTGAGTACTGATACACACCGTAAACATCATTTGTTTGCTTTTCACCATTCTTCAAATCCTATTTATCCGATTAAACAGAAATTAGGTTCCTTTTATTCTTTCGTTTCCCGAGCACTGCAAGTTTGTTCCTCCAAGTCGCCTCTTGATTAAGAATTAAACTACTTAAAAGCAGTTGCTGCAAACATAAATTTTTCACCTAATATTATTAACAAAACAATTAAAAAATTCTCATCTCAACACAACAAAAAGCACTTCTTCCCTCTGTTTAGAAGATTATAATAATTCTTTCTCTGTTAGCTATAAAACTGCACCATTTTATATTTTCCTATATTTATAGAAGTTTAACTTTCGTGTCGTTTTTTCTCCTATCAATAAAATTCTCAGCTCTACCCTTAAAGATCCTATTCCAGATATGAAATCAAATTAAAAGAGCCTTAAGTCTTCTGATTAAGGAATATAAAACACATATTTAGAAAAAAGGGGCACAAAAATTTCATTGTTGCTAAACATTGTTGATAAAAAAATCCTGGAATATGATTTTTTGACATTTTTCTGCAGTGAAAATTATTAAAAAAAACATCTTCCATTAACGAACTAGATTTTCTAGTGATGTTTCACATTCCTTAAAATCTTTTAGCTTTCTTTAATGTCCAATCCGCATTAACTCTCAGCTTACAGAGATTATTACATATTTGTTTTTATTTTCCCTCAATAAATGTCCTCAGAGCTATATTTTCAATTTTTGATGGACTTTTCTAGCCTATCTTTTAATGATATCTCGTGACAGCAAGCTTGTCTTCCATAATTTAAACTCCTGCAGCTGAAGAGAGTGCTGTAGTAAATCCTTAAAAACTAGTACTGCAAATTTATAAAAATTAACCCTGATTTCCGTATTTAAACTTCTAATATTTGTTATTCGGTGTGTTACTTTCACATTATTGCAAAGTGTATTGCACTCTAAGTCGCTAAGTTTAAGATGACATCAAATACAGTGCTGGTGATGAAAGTATATACGTCATGAACGAAGCACATATGAAATCTAAAATTTGCATGAAACAAAGAATACAATGGTATAAGCAAATTATTAACAATTCAAGGCATGTATACAGGCAAGAATAATGACATCTCGAAGTAACTTTAAGAACGGAAAATCGAATCCCAGTTTTCATTCGGCAATCGCGTTTTCTCGTTCATTGTTGCGTTGCAGGTCGTGTTATCCTGATGTAAGAATGGAGAATTCAAACCAGTATGGCTCAGAATTTAATGGACAATTATGGCATACTAGATATGCCAGTTATTGTGTCTCGCAACTGTCATTCGCGTTTGTCGAGATCCAATCATTGCTATGAGAATTTCTAATCGATGGATCCAGAAAAGCTATACAGAGCAATGCGCGGGATTTCAACGGCTTCCACTCACCAGTGCCTAAGATGACAACACCTTGTTCGTGTCTCTGCTGGAGATCATATAGCTTATCATATTTTTTTAAAAGATGAATAAAAATTTGCCATAGAGTAAGAAAATAAACGTGTGTGAGCGTGGTGAGAACAACACACAAAGAGCTGAATGACATCATTGAACATCAATGATTTAATAGCGGTAATATGATATGATTGTTTTTTGGGGATATCGCAACGACTCGCATGCATTCATAGGGGATAACTATGATGTTTGGAACCAAATCTTAGAACTTTTCTTCAGACTATAAAAAGTAATGGTGATTCTACGAAGTTATCTAGGACACGGATTTGGGCTTGACAGATGACGAAGTTCTTCCACTAAGAGAAGAGCCTTTTTTGCCCATCAAACTTCCTTTCCCCAATTGGTGAAAATTCCATTTCCTCCAGTTACTGCAAATTGCTACTCCAGAAGAGTGGCATTTATGTCCTTTATTAAGTCGGATCACCTGACCGAAGAGAAGAAACATCGATACGAAGCTTATGACAAAGTCAGGATAAGTTTGATTCCATTTTGTCTGTTTCCTTTGTATAGCATTCAAACCCTTTTGCAAATGAACTAAGCTTGAAATAAATGTTTAAAAAGGTAAAAATATACCATAAACATATTTACTTTAATTTTATTCTTGCATATATGAAGTCAGTTGATTTCCTTCTTGGGAAATAAGCCGTTACTCAAAGCACAGTTTTTAACTATCTGTGGAATTTACTGCCGTGGGATTAACCTTTGTAAGTCAGCGTAAAATCACCGAATCTTTTTCGGAATTTTATCATCTAAAAGGTGCACTAAAAGCATTTAAGATCATGTTATAAAATGCTCAATACCACTTGGGTACGCTATCTCATAACATTGTTTTTATGCGAAAATGCATGTTAAAATGATTTTTTTGCTACTATTTGTATTTAATTTTAGGTCCTTTGTTTTGATGCGGTTAAGCGCGAGGATACTCCAGACTATCCAGGAGAAAAAAATCGCGTACATTTTGTGAAACTGTATTACTATTTGGAGAATGACACTTTACGTGTTTTGGAACCGGAAGTTTCAAACAGTGGACTCTACCAGGTAGAACATTCTACATAATTTACTGTGTACAGTATGCTTCCATAACTTGCGTATTAACGACAGTAATCTGTAGTGATAATACAGGGTGAACAAAAAATCTTTCTCCAATTACAAAAATTTCAAGTGAAATAACAGCGGAAAATAGACTTCTAAAATATTTGCAGTTAAAAAGTAGTGTTTCAATTTTTTACCATGCAGTTAGATTGGGCCTATGGACAGTTAGCAATTAAATGGAATCGTTGGCGAAACAAACGCCGTGTAATTTGTGGTATCATGAAACTAATTCGCCCATCAACAGAGTTTACAAATTTGTCTGGAAGCAATCCTCCAAGGGCTGAGAGCCCCAGGAATTGATAAAAGTTTTTTTAAATACATTTGTAATATTGATGACCATCAAAGAAATGGAAAGCCTAATGTGAAAGATATGGCTGTTGACAACATTTGCGAATCATACAGAGGACATAACAAGGACCAAATCTTAGCCTTACTAGTTCATGATACTTACTGATGCTTTAAAAGCCAGTGTAACAGATGCTGTGTAAGATGAGCAGATGTTGAAAAACACTACCGAGAGCTAGAATATCGATTACTTTCTCTAGGCTACAAGGCGAATATACACTGAAATTTATTAACGTAGTACTGTTCTTAAAAATATTTAATTATTGAAGTTACCATGTAAGATCTGTCTCTGTTATTCCACATAAACTAAATTAGATCCTACAATGAACTGGCAAATTCTCGCACAGACGTGAATTAATTACCAGCACAGAAGAAGGGTCAAAATAACCCTTTATTAATTCAAACTAATTTAACAGAAAGGCACGGACTTCGTGCGTTACAAAGACACCGTCCATTTTCGGTGGAAACTAAAACGTAGAATATTATACAAGTCAACCTGAATAATAGTTCAGAGAGCGCACTTAAGTTTACGCCTAAGAGGTGGACTCACAGTAATCTAACCGGCGTGATACTAATCTGATAAGGCCAAGAGGCTTACTAGCGTAACCGCGAAATAACAACAAAACGCGCGCTTTGGCTAGCGAAACACGCTCTGAATAAAATGAGATATTCACACGTTTAAATAGAACTTCACTTAAACTTCACATTCTGACGCGAGAATGTGAGAGGAAGTTGAGAAGTTTAGAACAGGTAATAAAACTTAAAATAAATTGTTATGCAAAATAAGGAAAACCCTGCAACCTTTTACAAAATATCATATATGTCTAATGATAATGCTGTTCGTGTAATAAATTTTTGAATTCAGAGAAAGATTTTTTTGCTTACCTTGTATGTTCGTTATTATATTATTTAGTGTCACCTTACTCCTTAGAGTATTACTAGAATATTTAAATTTTCTAAACGTTTTGTCTTCAGTATCTGTATTTACATGATTTTTTTTGTAGGGGGGGGCGGCTTTAACACGCGTCCTTGGAAATACTGCCATTCAGCGAGGCATAAGATCTTTCATTTATCATCCTTGCCATTTGACAAGGTTTCCAATATTTTATGCGTCGGCGAAAGCAGGTTTTAAATAAAGGGCTATGGAATTTATTTGTATTTATGGTAGAAATTAAATGTGAATAGTGCACAAAACATTATTTTATTTCTGATGTTTTACAACAGTACAGCTCACATTTTAGAAAAGGAAGCACCTAATGTGCGACTGATTCACTGTAATTTGTTGCCTTATAACTATCATAATTTAACCTATAACTTAGAAATAAACGAGTTAGTTGAGAATTTAGGAAAGTGTGTTTCTAAATTCCAGATTCAATTATGATAGCTACTTATTTAGTGTCAAGCAAGTTTATTTCTATTTATTTTGAGCCCACCAGCAGTCGAATCGATAAGAACTGCTAAACACTGATATCTCAGCCCGGTTTATATTTTAGCGAACGGGCTGATTGAGTGTTTTAATGGTTCTTTCCTTTCGTAACGTAAATAAGAGAGACAGTTTACGTTGGCAAGTGATCCATGAAGGCATTCCTTCCCTTAATGATATAGTTCTGGCGAGTTTTGTCATAGTCTAGTAAATCTAATTCCAAATTTGATTAAGAAAGTGAGAGTCAGTTAGTAACCATATAAGGCTTGTAGAGCCGTTAGGTTATTTCGAAGGAGGAGAGATGAGAAACGAGCAACGCCTTCGCCAGGACTCGAACCACGGGCCTCTCGAATACACGCCAAGCGGGCTGAACACTGCACTACGGAGCATGCTAATAAGGCGGGAGAAATACAGGCTTAGCAGTTAAGTTAGTTACAGTTGTCATAATATGTGAGCAGCAACCAAAATTCTTGACTTATGTCGCAAGAAGCAGCAACCAAAATCCTTGACGCTATCTTCATAGATGACAATTCAGAAGATGACACACCCGAGCAGAGAGAGATTAGACTTTCCAATTTCTCACAGAATGGCTCAAAAGACTCCCCTTCACTCTACAAGAAATTAATAATATTATCAAGCACCTCAACAATAAGAAAGCCCCGGGCCCCGACTCTATAAGCAACAAAATTCTAAAAATTATGCACAATCATGACCCAAGAATCCTTCTTAATTTCTTCAATAAATGCTTAGAATTGCCGACCTTTCCCGATAACATGAAGAAAGGACAAATTATACTTTTCGAGAAGAAGGATAGGAACCCTGAAGATCCTTCTGCATTTTGGCCAATAAATTTGCTGCCCTCCATAGGAAAAGTTCTAGAAAGACTTATTGCCGGGCCGTTGAGATATCACTTTATCAAAAATCAAACAATCAGTTCAATCAAACCAATACGGATTCAAAGCCAACTCAAGCACTATTCATGTAATTGATAAAATACTGAAGCAAATCCAACATAATAAATCAAAAGGTGAACATAGTCCACTTATTTGTGTTGATATTAAAAAGTGCCTTCGACTCAATATGGTGGCCTTCAGTATTACATGCACTTAATAAAGCCAATTGTCTTTCTAATCTTCTCAATATTCTCATTCATTACTTTCATAATAGAGAAAGCATATTCATTCATAACAACATGATAACCAGCAAAAAATTTACTAGAGGATGTCCCCAAGGATCCTGTTTGAGTGCTGATTTCTGGGCCCTCACCTTTAATGACGTCTTAAAATATGAATTTCCCGATCATACGAAGATCTTCGCGTTTGCGGATGACACTGCGTTGGTTGTTAGTGGTAGGACTAGAGACATCCTCGAAAGGAATGTGAACGGTTCTCTCAAACAGCTTAACATAGAATGCCAGAGGTTGAAACTCTGCATTTCGCAAGTGAAGTCCAAGGCAATACTTTTTAACAAGCCAGGCCAAAAGCTCTTAAGAAAGCCCACCTTCACCCTGGACGGAAAGAAAATTAAGATTACCCAAGTCCTGAAGTTTCTGGGTATCCACATAGATAACCAACTTAATTTTATGTACCATTTCACGGAGACTCAGAAAAAGACAAATCAAATCGCTTATAATTTCAGAAAAATGCAAGGTAGTAACTGGGGACTTTCGTCCTCATATTCAAAAATTTTATTTTTAACAGTAATTTCAAGTATAGTGATTATGGGGCTGCAATCTGGGCGGAGACTACGACAGAAAGGAAGAAAAGGAAACTTTTGCCATTCAGAGGCCTTTTTCCCTGAGCAATTTGCAAAGCCTATAGAACGACAGCTAATTCCTCTCTATGCGTTCTTACTGGGATTCCTCCCCTTCATTTAATTGCGACGAAGGATTCAATAAAAGCCAGAGTACTCCAGTTGAAAGAAGATGCTTACCTGAACGGCACCCCTTTTTCTTCTGTCTCAAAGTATGAGTCTCCAGCCATACCATTGACCTACCATCCTGCAAAGTATTGTAATTTAATTATCAATACGGACCTTCAGCAATCAGTAGTAAAGAATGTCCAAGAGCATTTACAGACGGTTCTAAAATTCATGGAGAAGTGGCGCAGCATCAATAATCTATTCTTCTTCCTCTATTCCAACAATATGGCAAGGAAAATTATCTCCAGAAAATTCCGTTTATCAAGCTGAGCTGTCAGCAATTCAATCTGCAGTAAATAAAGCTATATCAAATAATTTCAGGACAATAGCTATCTATTCAGACAGTCAATCTGCATTATATGCCCTGAAGGACAGAAACAATAAGAACCAACTGGTTCAGGATATTCAAAATACTATAAGTGCTCACCCAGAAATCCAGTTTATCCTCAATTGGGTGAAAGCCCACAAGGAAGCGACGGCAATGAGGCAGCTGACCTCCTTGCAAAGGATGCAACGACTAACATCAACAGTGAGGTAATTCATGTCCCATGGTCCAAGTCCCATTTAAAATTTACACTGAATGCAATTGTCGACTCAATATGATGGCAAGAAGAGTGGGATATTGCATTGCAAGGCAGAAGAGTCCACAATCTTTTCTCAAAAACTGACAAAGAGGCCCTACCATGACCATGTTCCGAATCAGTATATCACAGGGCACGGTCCTTTCCCCACCTACTTCCATGACAGAGGCATGTGCCCCACGGATCTCTGCATATGTGGCGAAAGGGGTGACCCTGATCATTACATTTTTGACTGTAATCTAACAGACGGCAAACATCTGATCAAGCCTAACAAGAATCTAATACCATTTGAGAAATATACAATAAAGAACAGACACCTTAGGGCCAAAATCAGAGACGTTCTTATACATATCCAAAGACTCGGACTGGATATTTGTCATATATAATGCTTATTCATCTCCATATGTTACTATACCATATTTGTCTTTTTTATTTATTTTATTTTATTTATATAATTTTATTTTTTATTTTTCATTATTTATTTATTTATTTTTATTTATTTTTTTTATTTCATTTTAATGTTCCAACAGTTTCATTTATCTTCGCAATGCTGATGGACGGGAGATCCAGAGACTTGCTTATTACACCTTCCGCCTTAGAAAAGACATTTATTCTTATACATTTCTGCTTTTGGAAGCATCAGTTGTTGAACTTTTCAAGGACAGTCTTTTCTCAATATGATTGTGTACACTATTAATACCAGAACTTATTTATCTCAGAAAGTTCTCTCAAGTGGTTGATGGTAAAAAAAGAGGGGTGGGAGAACCTCGGACCACCCCCCGGGGTGTTCTCCCTCAAAATTGGGGTGGAACGTTTAACAGTTAGCTAGGTTCAGCAATACCTCAATTACCTGTGGTACCACGGAGGTGCTGGCCTAGCTTTTACCTGTACCTGTACCTGTCATAATATGTGTAGCTCTTGTGCATAATGAAAAATGTCTCCATAATCTTGTAAGTTTAAAATTATTTGAAGTTCTGAGAGTAGAAACTATCCAGAAAGAGCGAGTTCTAGCAAAGTAAAGAAACAAGTAAAGACTTTATAACTTCACGTCTATTTTATTTGCATTCACATTCATATTTTATGAAGCAGTCAAAGTAACCCATTACTTAATAATTGAAAACTACTTTTAATGGCATTAAGTAATAGGTTATTTTCAGATTAGCTGTCAAATGATAAGCTCGCTTACTGGAGGAGTTTGCAGAGCTGCAAAAATTTCGCACCTCTGCAGCTGAAAACCTTCGAAACTGCTCCTGCAAATTTATGAACATTACACTAATTTTTGTTGCTTCTCCAATAACCATTATTTGGCTGTTGTTTTAATTCAGATTTGATAAACTCGCATTTAAAGAGAAAAATAACAAAGTCTGTCAACATGTGTTTTTCATTTGAATGTAAGATAGTTCCTTTCGAAGAAGAGCTACCAAGCCTTCTTCATTCTATGTCTAATGTCATTCATTTGAAATCAAGACAAAGGCCTTTGAATAATGTTTAAACTGATGTGCATATCATGCATCAATATTTTAGATATTCCAAAATAAAGAGCATTAATGCTGTAAACAGGAATATTAATGAAACTCTGGGCACTGTATAAGACTTCTCAAAATTTCAACCTGCACAAAACTGTCTTTATACAGGAAAGAGAAAGAATACCTATAAAAGAAAGCCGTAAACCAAGGCAAAAAGTACAAAAAAAAAAAAAAAAAAAAAAAAGTAGAAAACTGAAGATTTCTCGAAAAAACCGAATAACAGAAGATGATGATAGATCAGGTCTATCAACATTAAAATATACTTCGAAGAGATTACCGTTAAAAATTTGTAAATTAAAAATATATACAAAACTTAGAAATTGTGCAAATATTTCTGTTATCTTTTAAATACAAATAATATCAATTTTTGCTTATTCGCGAAATCAAATGTTCATTAATTTCAATATCGATTAACATTAAAACTCGATTCGAGAAGAATATTAGTTTTAAAGCATTTATTTTGTTATGGCACTCACGGTTGTAAAAAGCGTGTCCTCAAGCTACACTTGCTACAGAATATTAAGAAGTCCTGATAAAACAGTTTTGAAATATTTAACTTAAAGATTTCTTTTCAGCAACGTGCTTTTATGATATTGAATAGAACCAAAAGATTTCATTCATCGTCGATCGGCAAACATAATCTAGTTATTTTAGATGAGTTACTTCATCCCAGATGTTGAATACGTACACCGCCTGAAGTGTTCATTCCTGAAAACTATTCGGACTTTCACAGAGATATAATCCTATAGACGTTAACAGGGATATGCAACTTGTATATACGTATCGCAGCACTACTTTCTTTTCTCCTTAAATGGTTAAGTAACGTTTTAAGGGGAATAATTTTTCAAGGCCATTGTGGCATTCATGTTAGGAGATTTTGGGGCCAAATTATTTGCTCTGTGTCTTCTGTTTCAAGAACTTCATTGAGATTAAAAAGCTTTTTGTAAGATTATGACACTTCATCTTGATATTTTTACTATCTGTAGTCAGACTTAGATCTCTTGTTCCACATGTACGTCCTTTCAAGGCCCGTAATTTTATAACGGGAAAACTATCAAATTCCCGTGATGGTGGATTGAAAATTAGTGTGGCCTTGGGCTACATTGAAAACTTTGCGGAAGATAACGAGGTTGATTTATAACAACATTTCGGGATGGGAACGTCTAACAAAAACAAAGTTGTAATCCAAATAACATGTACCTAACTAAATAATTACATTATATATTTTTATCAAAATTTCACATTCATGAACTGATGCTTAAACGTATTCAATATTTTTGATCAAGATTGCTAACTAATTAGGCGGAATTTTTGTAATACATTATACTGCATATGTCTAAATTTCTTCATAAGAAAGCGGTTTTTCAAAAAATAGATCGTTCGGTATTGATACGGTTTATCAGCATTGACAAAATAGAGCTCGGCTTTAGGTAACATGGGGCAAGCCTTTTAATGACATTCAGAAATCCAGCAAAACATAGGGCATTTAAATCTTTTAGTTTGGATTTTTATTTTGTAGGTATATTTTGTCGAAATTTCAATGGAAAATATCATAGAAACTATTTAAATACAAATATAAAATACCTAACATTTACAAAAGAAATTAAAGAATAATGATGAAAAATTCGACATTCTTTTAGAGATCTATTATTCATAAAAGTAATCGCGGAAATTCGTGCATTCTCTATAATGTTGCTACCCTAGACATTATTTTTCTTCTTACCATCACGTCTGTACCGCCTTAACGGTTATGCTCTTTAATGATGGAGGAAATAATTTGGTGTTCCTAGGTTCCTCCAAATTTAAACGAATGTGCAACCAAATCTAAAAGTGAAGTTCGAGTTATTGACTGCATAGAACACAGCTAAATGGTTGTAGACTCCAGCTCTGATGTTCTCTACGTCAATTCACAGCGCCTCACTTTATAAGTGTTAAGCTTGTGAAACACAAACCGTTGGTATTCTGGCATAAAGCTTTTGTTACTGTTCTTAGATTACCGTGATGTGACAACTGTAAACTCTAAACTAGCTGCGTAACTGTCGAATTCCTTTTGCGACAGCCATAATAATGGGCAGAAAACTATCTTGGAAAGGGTAAACCTTTCTTCTATAACCTTGCTTTGGTTTTCTAACTAGAGTTTTAGAGATTTTAAATCGTTTCTAGAAATCGATTTAGCCAGCCTGCCACTTCCGTTATCGTTCGCTTACGCCTAAATGGCCGACAGCTTTCCTCCTCAAAGATCGCTGCAATGGCATTTCTGTATGGTAAAAGAATGTTTTGACTTAGTGTCAATAAATACTGAAATCAAGCCCTGAATTACAGAAGTTCGCGAGGAATGTACTTTATACGAAACACTTGCCTTGTTTTTGGATGGCGACAGAATGATATGATAAATGGTTGAATACAGATAAAGACATTTTCTTTTTGCTCATTTCCATGAAAAAATTAATCATACCAAGTAGTTATAAAAGAATCATTTAGTATCGATAAAAGTTTTATTCTTTCTACGTATGAAAACATAATTTTGAATGCCAGTGTATTTGTTTATAATTCTAACAAAATATATATAAAAGGTTCGTATTGAAATATGAATATTGCGTGATTTACATACTTCTTTTTCAGGGCACGTTGCATAGACGCGATCGCTACCTTCACCCGAATACCAAACGTTACTATAATTGGAAAGATTTGAACGTTGGAAATGATATTATTATATTCGGAATCACGTATCATCTGTATGACTGTGACCACTGGACAAGGGTATGTAGCTATAATTCGAACTAAATTTAGAACGACGAAAATTTTGAGAATGATATAGCTAGTTTAAAGCTATAAATAACCCATGAAAATGCTAAACCTTGAACTATTTTCTTTTCCTTTAAGTAACGAATTTCGTTCAAAAGCTAAGTGTGATCCTGTGTTCATGATTATTATCAGTTTTAATCCATTTCGAGGCAAGATGCTATTCTTATCACTTCCTAAATTTCGTGCAGGCAAAATAAAAATTTTGTTATGAAAAATAGTTAGTTGTAAGCGTCGAGAGCAAGCGAGCCACTGGAAAATTTTCCATAGCTATATCTTGAACAACTAAATGTTGTCTTGATTAAAAGAGCTCAAAATTCTCCACGTAACTTTAACATGTGACGGAAATATTATAGCAAGTTCGTCTTTTTCCCATGCCGTTTACATAGTTTGAATAAATCGATTTAAATGTGTATTTTTATGTATCTCGAAATACTGAGGATCAGTTATTAAACTAGTGTCCATATAACTGTTCAGATTAAAACTATTTTTTCAATATTAAACTAGCATTTTTTTAAAATGAGAAATCTTGTTTGAGGTGTTAGGCTGAAATCTGAAATTTTCAGAATATATTTTTTTAAATATCTTGACTAGATATCGAGTGAAAAATTGTCCGTCAAGTATCTCATTAACTGACTGTATTTTTCATAACTGGGTTTTCGTCAAGTATCTCATATTAACTGTTTGAAGGTTTTCCGGTAAGTATCTCATTAATTATCATAAAGTTTTCCGTCAAGTATCTATATTAATTGGTACATAAGCTGGTCCCTCAGGTATCTTTTTAATTGGTACATAAGGCGGTGTATTAAGTATTTTATTAACTGGCACTTTAGGTGATCTATTAAGCATCACAATATCTCTTCTATAAGGTGATCCATTAAGTATCTCATTAAATGTTGCATAATGTGATCCATTAAACAGCACAATGTTACATAAGGTATTTCATCAAGTATCTCACTAACTGGTACAAAATGTTGTCCCTTAAGTATCTTATTAATTGATGCATAAGGTGAAGGTGGTCTATCAAATATTTAATCAATTGGTACATTAGGTGGTCTATCAAGTATCACATTAACTCTTACAAGGACTGTTCCATCAAGTATCTTATTAAATATTACCTAAGGTTATCCATGAAGTATCTCCTTGATTAGTAAATCAAATAAGTCATTAAATCTGAATTCATTGAATCAAAATTTTAAAATTTAAACAATGTCACCGTATTTTCACAACTAGTTCAGAAAGGTCATACTCCAAGGACTGATAAAATCTAAGATTTTAGGTCCTGGTCTTGGAATTCGAGGTAGGAATCAGTACTACTATAACAGCAGAGTATTTCGTGGTAATACATGCTTCTACATGATCATCTGTTAGAAAATTCCGAATTTTACTTTTTCCTTACGTCTATAGTATGTGCTAATAAATTAAGCATTACACTTTCTTTTTTATGCTTCAGGTATATTTGACCAACGAAGGAATCGAAGTTAATGAAGCGGAACTCAAGCCTGAAGATCCCTTGCAGCAGCAAAAGAAACATTTGGACCCTCGAAAAGAGCTTCGAAATGTTGATCTGGAAGTTAAGTTTCCACTCAGGAAATTCTATAAGAATTCGGATAAGGTTCTAAAATTTTACGGAATTTGGAAAAACGAACTGGAAGATCCTATCGCCATAAGGCGAATTGTATTGTATGTAAGTTGCCCTAGTCTTTTGCGGCATTCATTGAAAAGTCACACTAAGTAATTTTAATTGCCTCATGCGTAGAGAATTATTCAAAATTTTCTAACTAATTCTCAGAGTTTAACTTAACTAAATGTTCATTAACAGTACAGTCAAATAGAATCATAGTTTACAAAACTTTTTAACCCCTATTTGCGGGGTCTTTGAAAAATACACACACACACACACACATATATAGGTATATTATACTTACTGTGTTCATTTAGAAAGTGAATTTGCTGATCCTCATCTAAAAAAAGATGTTAAAAATGGAAAGAGACTTAAAGTCTACGTACTCCAGCACCAACTATTCGCGATCTCTAAGCATAATTGCTACAAGGAAACACTCAGTGGAACTAACTCGGCCAATAGGCGCTCAGCTACATACTATATATAGACTGCTTCCCTGGTGAATTTCCCAAACCATCATTCTCTAAATTATAATTTCCTCCGTTATTTAAATCTTATTAAATTTACATTCTGGTGAAGATGAAGGAAGAAAGAGCTGTAGCGGGAAAGACTAACCATAAAAAATGTAATGCTATGTTTAAAATAAATCGTACGTAAGAATTTAGTTTAAATTTTGTGCGGTATTTCCAAGCGCCGTTTTCTGAGCTAAACGTTTACATTTCCAATACCAAACGTTTACATTTCCGATCACTTTACAGTTAGAAGAGGCAGCAATCCAGATAAGACCAAAGCATAGAAAGTAAGTGCAGTTGGGTACTTAATTTATTATGAATTAATTTTGGTTCTCAGTGCATCTGATTGGCTAATTAATACTGCTGTAAAATCACTATTGGCCGTTTGAGTTTTAGTCTCATTTGCATTATCTGTGTTATGTAAGAGTCATATGACATGGACTAGTCTCGAAATTATACAGTGCAGAAACAGATTACTATTTTTAGAATACCGAGGCGATATATCAAATCTAAATTAAGCACTGAAGAGCCATTGCTAATTTAAATTACAATTTATATTTAAATTTTTTTTAACAAATCTCTCCTCCTTTCAAGCAGGAAAAGGCGCAAGGATAGAGGAGCCTTTTTGGTCGAGTGTTTAAGGCTATGAACTCAGTTTCCCCACACAGGTTCGTATCCTGTCGACTGATTGCAATGAAGCAGACTAATGATATTGTAGAAATACTGATAGCAGAGAATGTAGATTCATAATGAAGAGAAAATTGGCACCGAGGCAGAGTAAATCTTCATTTTGATTTGAGTAAACATATTGTGGCCACAAACAACTTGGCATACTACTTGTGTCTATTTCCAAACGTTCACATTTTCGATAGCTTTGCAGTAAGAAGACAGCAGCAAGCAGCAGTCCAGATAGGCCGAAGTAAAGAAAGCAAGTACAGTTGGTTTCAGGATGAAAGGTTAATTCAGAAAGAGTTAGCTTTGGTTCTTAGCATTTGATTGCCTGTTTGGCTGTTTGAGGTTTAGTTCCATTTACATCATCAATGTTATGTAAGAGTCATATGACGTGGATTAGACTCGAAATGACACAGGGCAGAAAAAGATTACTATTTTCAGAATGTAGAGACAATATACCAATTAAAATTAAGCATTGAGGGGCTATAGTTAATTTAAATTAGGCCTTACACTCTTAGAGAAAAAAAAAAAAAAAAAACGACGCACCAAGAAGGAGTTATCCGAATGGGACGAAAATCGGTAGAGTGATGTACATGTACAGAAAACAATGATTACAGTTTGAGAAAAAAGACACACCAAGTTGATAAGTGTTAGAGCTTTACAAAGTGAAAAAGTCAGTCACCGTTTGTCCACCTCTGGCTCTTATGCAAGCAGTTATTCGATTTGGCATCGATTGATAGAGGTTGCGGATGTCCTTCTGAGGGATATCTAAACAAATTCTGTCCAAATGGTCGTTAACGTCAACATTCCGAGCTGGTTGGAAGGCCTTGTCCATAATGCTCCAAACGTACTCAACAGGAGAGACATCCGGCGACCTTGCTGGCCAATGTAATGTTCGGTAAGCACTAAGGCAAACAGTAGAAACATGTGCAGTGTGGGAGCGGGCATTATCTTGCTGATATGTAAGCCCAGGGTGGCGTGACATGAAGGGCAACACAACGGGCCTTAGAACTTCGTCGACATACCGCTGTGCTGTAAGGTTCCGACAGATGACAACCAGAGGGGTCCTACTAAGAAATGAAATGGCACCCCATACCATCACTCCTGGTTGTCGGCCTGTCTGCCGGAAGACAGTCAAGTTGGTATCACACCGCTGTCCGGGGCGTCTCCAGACTCGCCTTCGCTGGTCATCGGGGCTCAGTTCAAAGCGGGACTCATCACTGATGACTATTCTACTCCAGTCAGTGACATTCCAGTGCGAATGAGCCCGACAAAACTGCAAACGGGCTTGACGTTGTACAGAGGTCAATGGTAGTCGGCTCAAAGGGCGCCTTGACCTCAGCCCTCTTTCTGTGAGTCGTCTATGAATGGTCCTTACGGTCACGGAAGCACTAGTTGCACGTACAATCGATGTTAATAATGCACCTGAAGCTGTGAGTGCCGCTCTGACGATTGCTCAGTCTTCACGTTCTGTCGTTTCTCTAGGCCTACCACTTCCTTCTTGACGCTGTGTGCGGCCATGGTTCACCCATTCCTACCAACATCGTCTAATAGTGGCATCGCTCCTGCTCAAATGTCGAGCTATTCGCCGATAAGACCAACCGGTTTCTTTGAGCCCAACTACACGACCTCTCTTAAATTCTGACATCTGTGCATATCGTTTGCGCACCTGTATGCGAGGTATAGTTACTGTTTACCAAAGTACACGGAATGAAATTTGTGAAGAATTTATGATTTGGAATCGTAGTTTCTCCTCTTAAATAGCCTGCCAGTGGCGCAGATCAGATGCGCTGTAGCGACAACCGTTCATTCACTGGCAGCCAAAATGCAAAGTGTATATTTAAATTTTTTTCTTACACACACACACACACATATATAACGGGCGGCAACTTTTCAACTTCAGTCTGTGAACTATTCCTATTCACGTAAGAATTTCCTTTTGTACGTTCACTTAAATGGAAGATCAGAAGTATTACAAACATATCTTTCGTTATATAGATGACGTAATTGCCTTTAACAACTTCAACAAAATTGAAAAAGCAAATATTTACCCTTCTTGCCTCAAGCTTAATACCGTTACAATAATACAGTTCAAAATGATGTAGTTTACCTTGATTTACATATTCTGGATTACAATCTTTTAAAAATCTTCGACAAACGCAGAGATTTCAACCTTCCTACACTAAAATTAACTAACTGGAATTCTAATATTTCTAAAAGAGTCATTGTCAGTAGAATTAATCTAGAACTTCTTAGAATTAAAAGAATCTGTAATAATACAAAACCCTCCAAGAAGAAGTACTCTACATTGTTAATATCTTACAAAGCAATCTTATTCCAAAAACAGTCATTAAAAAATGCTGGCATTTACCTGTTTTTTTCAGATTTTTTTAGATAATGAAATTTTTTACTTAAATCCCGTAGGGAAGGTGATTAATGGATGGCTAATTCAAATGATCTAATGTAAAAATGTAAAAATTCCTCTCACAACTTCAATTTTACTATCCACTATCAGTACTTCAAATTCTATTCTTGAATAGATGTTTAAGCTTTTTTTGGGCGTTCCGATCCTTTTATTGATTTTAAGGGCCTTTTTCGTTTCAAGTAGTTAGAAAGCCCTTTAGCTTGAAGAATTCCGACTTCAATTAACAATTTACTGTATTTTTCAAATTTCTACTGCTTGCTGGCTAATTTTTTTGCCATTTTTTGGAATTAGCCATTTTGAATTCACCCCCTCCCAACTTTCTAGAATTTACGTCGAGCAAGACGCCATCTTGAACAAATTTCTTCCTTCTTCGACCGTTAATTCCCCACACTATCTGAGTCAGGTTATGCTATAGCCAATGAAACGTCTGTCACGTTTCAAGCTTCATGACGTTTCTTTCTCTTTTACTTCATTGGTGAACTTCATTCTTATCTTTTCTCGAGGCATATGGCCATTTTTAGCACATAGCTTTTCAGAGTAGAAGTCGCCGATCAAGGTCTGTTTAAAATTTTTTTTTCTTTCCCTTGTTTTAATTTTGGTCATAGCAAGACCAAAATTGATTCACTTTTAGTTTTAATTTTAAAGTTTTTTCGTTCTTTTACAAAGTTTAAACTCTTTAAGCTAGTAGGTCCTCCCTAAAAATCATGTATTAATTGACTAATAGCAATTCGCTATTTATTTTATTTTGTACATTTCCCTAATCAGGCTAGTTTGTATAGTTTTTTCTAATGTGTTTCTCATTTACTTTTAACAAACGGACGCGTCGGGAAATGAAGCAGAGAAATTGAGACTTAAGTTTTTATCTAGCTTATTTTATCGGTTAAATAATAAAAAAGTTTCGTGTACAGTCTCAATTCTTCTGTTTGACGAAACGCGATATGGAATAAGCTGGATTCGAAGATCATTATGCGTTTTCCCTGAAGAGTCCATAATGAGATTGGAATTAGGCTAATTTAACATTTACCGATTCTTTGTATTTTTGCTTATGTCTTAAATAACTTTTGTGTTTATATTCAAATGTTTTATGATAGTTTTAATCAATATTTTACTTCCAATTTGATTTGAGTTTTAAATTCACTTTGTCAGTTTTCTTGTGATAATTTCATTTATCTTGTATTTACACTTTTAATTGCAATTAATTTTAACTGAGTGTTAAAATTATTCACCAGAACCACAGTATCACATTTGCTTTAAAGCAATAGCATGAAGAATATTCTTTTTACCTTATATTATATATATATATATATATATATATAAACGTGGCAATATATTGTTTCCAGTGCTGTAGAACAGGTCAACAAACAGAAAGTATGATTTCGCAGAAAAGGAAAGCACCTGTATTCCTAATCGGATATCTTATGGCGTCTGGGGTTCATAGCTTACTGGCATAAATTTTGAAAATCTGTGTCACCCTCTGTACGCTTCACGTTGTTGTTCTTCTGTTACTGCATCATCCCTTCTTCAGAGAGAATAATGCATAGAAAATAAACTGACGATGTTAAAATTTCTTGACATCGTTTCTAGACCGCTTTGCCATATTTCTAGAATGAGGTACATTATTCCAAAACAATAAAAATGGAAGAGACAGAGCAACATAATGTTTTAATCGCTTATTTAAAACCAGGACCTTTAAATCTCAATAAGAATTAGGAATTTTTCTGTTTAATATCAAGTTGATCTATCTAGTTCTATACGATCATCATTTCTTTGTATTAGTACTATTTGGACGAAGACAAAATAGAGATAACAGAGAATATCCTTCCAAACAGCGGACGACCTCCTTTTCTACCATTTGGAAGAGAAGGACTAGACAATATACCAACTAACAGTGGACGTGGATCATTCATGACAGTGCTTGGAAAACAGAAAGTTCTTTTGGACAGGAAAAAGGAAGTGGGTAAGGATCAAAATTCCATGTCTTTCGATTTGTTAAATTTAAAAAAAAATTGCCTATTCTTTTAAAGGCACAGCCAGAAAATCAAATCAAGTACTTTAAGACATAAGTTTTAAAACTTCTCCATCTCACATACTATCATCTCTCTCATATAGCACTTCTATATTGTCTTACATTCTTATGTTATGCATGCACAAAGATTTTACATACAGCAGAAAGATATAAACAATTCGCCTGATAACCATATTTATACCTTTTTGTCTACTACGGTTACTGCACATTTTAATTCTTTACCATAACTACATTCAAATTCAGGTAATAAGAATAATTGAATCACAGGAATGTGTCTACTTTGCTCATGTTGATTTACCAGGAAAGCTACTTCATACATTTCTTCAGCAAATAGAATGCCTTCAGAATAATACACCTCATAAAGGTTTGCCTTTACGCATATTAGCAATATATCTTCAAGACAGAAATCTTCATAGTGGTGTTCTTTCATAAGGGTTTAGCATATTAAAAAAGATGAGCTTTCAGTTCGGTAAAAATCAGCCTTCATAAAGGCATTGACATCTCTATTCAAGAAAAGATTTATTGTATAACTTTGGTTAGTAAAGTAAACGAAAATCCTACTCGTATAATCTTTTCCGTACATAATGATACCGGCATGGTTATGAATCTTCAGTTGCTAGTTTTTGATTAAAATTTGATTTGCAAAAAAGGTGCTAGGCACTTCTATGCTGGAGCACAGTTATGAAGCTTCTGTTCAAATGTATAAATGTTACAACACATTTAAGGCAGAACATCTTTAACATAAATCACCTTTAACATACAGGAATAAAAAAGACAAATATGTTACCAGAAACCTTTCTGGTGCTACAGAAGTTATAATCTAAAGGGCATTCACGTAAACTACGATTTTTGGAACATCGGTTTTATGCTTGCAATATTGCATGATGATATCCATCCATCAAACAGCCTTTACCGTCTGGTGCAAGTGACACTGGGTCTGGAAAGATGACAAATGGGAGCGTGTTTTGTTTATTGATGAATGCAAGTATAGTCTGATGAATGATACATACACATCCCATCATACCATACAATAATAATAATAATTTAGCATAATATTAAAAGTATTACAGTACCAGCAATAATATTTTATGGGAATAATAGTTTTCGTTGGGGCCGAATTGAAAAGAGTGATGTTGTTATAGACGTGATGTATTCAGGTTGCTGAATAAATCTGCGTCTAAACGTACTTATTATAAAAGTACTGACTTCTTGAAATCTGAAGCCTCCCCCACCGGATAACCCAAATGTCTCCAAGGAAACAGTATTGTTTACTCTATCAGACACTGGTCTAAAAGCGTTACACTTAATGTTTGAGCAGGATGTATAAATTACTTTTAAAAGTTTTTCTATCATGCTTAAAACTAATTCTGAGACTACGGATTTCTCTTCGAGAGTTGTTTCCTTTAAACGTTTCTTAAACTAAAAACAATCTTTAAATAACTTGAATATATTTAATGGCGTTTGGTTTCTCCCTCCCTGGACGTTGATTGTATTATTGAACTACGGAGGTTCCACAAAATCATCTTTACATTACCTTACCGATGATTTCTTTTAATTTTTAAATGAAAATTTCCTTTTATGTTGACAGACAAAATACCATGTTATCTAGAACCCCTGGAGGACGATGATCTCACGTGTATAGGGCCTGGGCATTTGAAGATGCAGGAAGACATAGACATTCTCGGGCGAAAGATATTTTTGACATCGTGTGATGAATTTACGCACACTTTCTATCGTGAGCATTATGGGATCGATATGCCGCAAGTCGAGGTCTTGGAGAAGCCAAAAGCCAAGACTCCCGTGGTAAGTACTGGAGTGGAATGCTCTTTCAATCTTAAAATTCCTCGAGGATAAAAAAGTTCAATTCGTTAAGACTGTCTGATGCCAGTTGTAAAGCTGTACTGCGTAATTTCCTGTGATAACTATGCGTAAAAAACATTGAGCAAGAGAAAAATTCTGCTGCAGGAGATCTTAAAAAGGTAATGAAGACAAGATGAAGGAAATTTGGAAAGAAATGATATTATATGCTTTAAAATCACAAGATCTTGTTCAAAGCGATATAGGCTAATCTACCATGCAAAGCTAGTAATCATATTGAAACAAGTATCATTAAATGATTTTGTAGAGCTAAAAATTATAAAACATCAAATTTATTATTTTGCTATCTTATTCTTTGTTAAGTAGCAAAATATGTTAAGTAGCAAAATATGTTAAGAGTGAAGAATATGCTTTGTTATTATTTGATTTAATATAGTTAATGTCTTACTTTGATAATTAATTGATTAAATTAGTCCGTATTTACATATGCCACAGAAATATCACATTTAGTATAACATTTATTGTCATTTGAGGTGGTTTTTACAATGGATTATTCGGTGGTACAGCCGAAAATCCGTAGAATAATAATTACAAAGTGAATATTCTTCTACTACGTCGCTTTTCGTTAATTCCAAGGCTGGTGTAAACACCTTTTGTTAAGGAGAATTTTACCCAGACATGAGCATTCGAATCTTCGAATCTTATATAAATCGCAAAAGATTCAAGAGTCGAAAACTCATATCGTGACGCTTTATTCCTAAAGAAAAATTTTCGTGTCGTCATTTTAAAATTATTAAAACTTGAACTCAAAATTTTAGAAAGATGAACTTCATTGACTCCAGCAGAAGCATTCATATAAAAAAAACATGTTTTTTTACCGTTTTATTACACCCGGATTACCATTATCTTCTCATGGCACTCTTAATTCTCTGAAGAAGTTTAGTATTCTATGCTTAGTATTTATCTACGCTTACTGTTGAAATAATGCCGGCCTACTCCGTCATACTTTGGTTTAGAAAGCTTTCTGGATAATGTTAAAAATCTGAATTATTACAAAATTACTTTTTGTCACATTTTATTCAGAAAATGAACTTCAAAATTCGAAAGTTTTAATTACATACTCCACTCACTGAACTTCATTTGTATCATCTTGAAAACACAGATATATTGCTAAATTTTGTATTCTTATTCTTTTACCCTGTTTAACGCAGTTTAAAATTTTTGCTTCCATTAAAAAATTTTAATATGAGGTGGGAGTTTATTATTTATTGTTGTTATTATTCATATATGAAAGATTCGTGAGATTTGAGAAACTTGCAAGATTTGAACGTGGATTCGAAAGTTTTGGAATTCGTTCCACTTCAGGTTTTTTCCTTAAATCATTATTAAATCTAGTTATCCTTTGCTGTCACGTGTTTCCCCAATACGTAACGTAAATACTAGCTATTTCTCTTCAGAAATCTCTCCACCAAAGCATTCCATAGGCAAATGATTTGTATGTGCTTTGCCATAATCTGAAAACTCCAAATTTGAATCCTTTGCAATCACTGGCGATTTATCTTGCACGCAAAAGCTGAATGAAAATAGCCCAGCGCCCCTCCCTTCCCAAAAGGTTAAACGTTTATTAAAAGTTTTCAAGTACTAGATGCACAGAAATAAAATGTTTAATTCATAGTGTCTTTGAAGAGATTACACTAAAAGAAATTACAAGGGCATATTATAAAAATTGTAGTATATTTGATTACTTTTAAGTAGTTTTTGCATTTGCACTTATTTCTACGTTCTTCTATTGAAAAAAGCAAAACAGTAGTTGACTGTAAAAGGAAAACATCTTTCCAAGTTTTACTCAAGAAACCTCAGTTCTGTGAGTATATTGACATAAAAGAGTTTTACAGTTAAGATCCCTCCGGATGGTCCAGCGCGGGAGACGACGAATAAGTTCGGATACGTTTTCTATACTTATTTTTAAGTGTAGAGAAGGCCTGCCTCTCCGAATCTATATTAGAGTTTCGGACCACATTTTGATTCTTCTTTGCTGAACCTACTCCTTTCGTCTAATAAAAGGAATGAAGTAAGTTTGGTCATGCAAATGCGCATGATCCTAAATTATCTTTCATGCATCTTAAAAAATAGCAGTCTGCAAAATGTCGTAATATATTTAAATAATAAGCTGGCAGGTTTTAATGTGTCAAAGCTATCTGGCTAATGGAAGGAAATGGTTTTTGTCTTCAAGCTATGAAGTTTGCTAAAGTTATTAAAATTTGAGAACATTACCTTTAATTGTAATAACATCGTCCCGTTTGGTGAACCATGTTACAGACTTACCTCAAGAATGTAAGAAAATCAGCATCGATTAACGCAGATTTTCTGTTACTACAGGACAGCTATAACTGCAGTTTGTGTTACTGCCAGTTTGCCTTCACATTGTGCCAAATGTTTTGCTACAGCAAGGTAATCTTGTTTCAGATAGCCTGAAAACAGGATGTCGGGAATCAAACAGAGCAAAGGAAAAAATAATCGGAAAGTGCAAAAGTTTATCTTTGAAAGTTATTTTTATGCAACTCATTAAACTGTAGAGGTAATATGATTCATCTCTTTCTTCATGAAAACTTTCCTCAGGATCACCTTATGCTTGTGGAATATGAGCATACGAAACATACTACAAATGTATCTCATCCACCGTTCGGTCCTCCGTTTGGTCATGTGAAGCAACAGTTGTATTGGAGATGTTTCTAGCGGTCAGAAAAAGTAATCGCTTCATCGATGAAAGCCATGTGGCTGATTCCAGTCTTTGAAGTTCAAAGATCCTTGCAACAGTTGTATCGATTCTTTATGGATTGCATTATGACTCATCGACATTACTCAAAAATGGATTTGCACAATAGGAACATGGTATCAGATATCTGCTCAACTTAGAACTTATTGACTATTGTACTTTAACACTTAGTCTTATATCTTATTGACTGATGTACTGTAAGGAAGAGAAACACCCAGTATAAAATGTCACATTTTCAAGCTTTCCATTAGAGAAAAAGTACTGTATTTGCTCACATTTTGTATAAAACAGTATTGATTTCCGGGCTGATGGTGCCAAAATATAAAGAAAGATACAGAGAACGGTTTCGTATAAATAAATTTACTTCATGCTGTAAGAATGTCAAGTAAAGGAAGTCTGCATATTCAAAAGTTAACTAAATGGTATAACCAGAAACTCGTAACAATTCAGATAATTGTTAAATGTTCTTTCTTGCAACCAAAGGCTTCATCAACGTATATAGACCCAAATTGAAGAAACACTTTGTTAAATAATTTAATTTAAAAAGAATGCCCTTGGATATGAGCAAACGTTTGCGTGTTTTCCAAGAGTAATATTTCAACATGGCATTAGCAATTCTTTGGTAAAAAAGTGTAAGTTTGTTTAAGGGAGGATTTGGTGAGAGAAATTAATTTTTTTATAAAAGAAAAGGAGTTTCCTGATTTGGTTTTAAAATATTTTAATTCTTCCTTTACTGAAATAACGGTTTTATGATGAAAAGCGAAAATAATAAAATTCAATTATATTTTTTCCATCTTTGATATTACTATTAATTTTAAATATATGTAATATAAAATTAAAATGTGTTTGGTTTATAATTTTAGTTGATTCCGACTCACCAGTATGGCCCCTGGGAAGAAGGTTTCTTAGACTGTCTTGATCCTGTTTCGATACCCAAGCGGATTCATCACTCCATGCAGCCGAAATCGGAAGAAATTATGAAAACGGTTTTACGGTTCTCAGCTTGCATGGTAATACTTGAAGCTTGTGTTATTAATGCAGTATATGTTTAAAAATTATAATAAAAGATTATCACTTCGCAATAAAATTTATTCAAATATAGTAAGCAAATATTTGAGGTAAAGAGACGTTTATTAATGAAAATATACTAAAAATATATTTAGAAAGTAAAGGGAAAGGAATTTTTTTAACCTTTTTGATTTATTCTATGGCAAAACTATGAAAAGTTGCATAAAAAGAACTTCGTTGTTAGGCGGGGAGATCTTGTTCGGCGAGGAAAGACATTTGAATTACTAGTTTCAATTTCATGTCAGGTTTATTGTAAGAGAAAGAAAGTTCACCAGCCTCTTCTAACTTCTATGACAAGCTACCCGTGTACATGACAAGTACTAGCATACATGACATTTGATACAGAGATTTGAAAAGTTTTGATAGGTTACACTTGCTGTGTTTAAAGCTTAGCAACAGGTGGCAGTGTATAATTTTATCATAAATGTTCATACTGCAATAATGAAATGACACATATAAGAATAGATTTATCTGAAGCTTAAATTACCATTGTAAGTACAGTATACGTCAGCCATTCTTTGCTACTAAACTAACACTATTCTTTGGTAACTTTCTGTAAATATCTACAGATATATTACATTGTCCCCCCTGTACCAATGGGAACAGCTATTATGTTAATTTTTGGGGTAGGTTGATATGGCTCGGTAACGGTGCTTCATCTCATTCTGAGAGAATGGGTAAGAAACTGGACACTGGGCTACCCACTGGAGTTTATTCATTCTACCATTTCTTTAAACCATTCAACTATGAAATTCGTATCGAAAAATTTCCTCAAGTGGTAATACTTTCTACTTTGTCAGGACACAAAACCCGTGAAATAAAAAAAAAGTAAACATTTCAAAGAGGTGTTTTTTAACACCTCTTTGAAATGTTTACTTTTTTTTACTCTTTTTTAAGAGGTATTCTTCAAGGTGTTAAAAAAGTACTACACAGACAAAGTACAACTTTATGTCTGTTCTTCCCATAAAAATAAATATTTCTCGAGGAATAATTAGTTGCAAATCCCGTAAGAATTTCCTTTCCATCTGTTTTTCCTATGCAGAGATAAACTTACTGCTCAAGTATTCCTCATTCTCCTTCGGATTCTGGGTTGTACCGAATAATAACGCTAAGTGATGGGAAAATGAACCTTGGAATTTAACTAATTTAATATTATATAACTAGAAGCATATAAATACTTACCTTCACGGAGTTTTAATTAAGGGAAAAAGTTATTAATAAGTGATTGCCTGCAGTTGCTACTCAAGAGTTTATTTATAAACTGTTTCTAATGTTTCTGGAAACTATCGATCCATGCTGGACTTGTAGAACATTCCTCATCTCAGCATTTGTACAAAATTCACGTTTATCACATAATGCGCTTGGATTTGTTTCAGAAAAAAAACAAGCAGATATCTTCTGTCACTGAAGCTACAACTTACGTTTTTCCATCAGTATCCAACCAAATATTAAATTCTTCACAATTCATGTTAATTTGAGACGTTGTTTTTAGTCCTCCAACTTCCTCTATTTCACCGTTTATTAAATGGTAGTACAGAAGCCAAATTTAGCAAGTTATCGCCAAATATGCAGTTGTGCGTATGAATGTAGCGGAAATTGTTCATTCAGGCCACAGTTGATAGGAATCGGGTTACTTCCACGTATTTCTTTAGTGGGGGATAGAAATTTTGGCTAAGAATCCACTTTTTTCCTTTCTGACTCAAAATCCGCAGCTAAAAGTGGACATCACATGCTTGGGTTTGCTTTAACATACCTATCGTTTAATGAATGGTAAGTATGAGCTGCGGTTCCAAGCTATGTTTAGAGAGTACAGTGTATCAAGAAAGCTAATTTTCCTTGTTAATACTACATTTACCCTTATAACTGCATCACTTATGTTATAAAGTACTCGCGATATCGCTGTGATAAGGCTTGCATTATCGCAATTCACGGCGATAACGTTCTTTATTGCTGTGATGATCTCTTGATCACTTGGCTGAATTATGTTTATGGTATTTTCTGGCAAATACGTAATTTCAATACATTTAAAAGCTTAAAAGCGACGTTTACATTATGCGTTACGCAATTTTAGATAGGAAAAAGCTATCATTTAGTTCGTTATTTCATTTCAAAAGCCATTCGTTAAAAATTACTGATGTCATCAACGCCTTTGAATTGCACTAATAATCTTTGCTCCTTTACAGAAACGCGGATTTTTTTTCTTCTTCCGATTACTAGTACTTTTCCCTTTTTTCTTTCACCAACCACGTATAATGACGCACTGTAAAATGATTACACGAACTTTCGATATTTTTCATCCTTCAGAGCTTTCTAATTTAAGTATTTAAGTATGTCGTTCGATAGTGTAGACTTGTTTGTCGATCTTGTAAAAGTTTTCAAGTCAGTACTTTGTAAGCAATTTAAGGCATTCATTTGACAGCTCTGTTCCTACAGCAGATAGAGTTAGTCACAAAAGTAAATGCGTATCAGACTAATACTTTTTACTTTTTTTCAAAAATATATTTTGTCAAAAGAAACTCAGAAATTCCCTCCAATAAATCTGCGTACACTTTTTAAAAAAGCAAAATATAAGTTTTTTACATTACTTCAATACATTATAGGATATCTTTTATTCTTCAAATATTGCAGACGTCTGGGCATTGACGGAACTAGTTTTTCAGTGTCATGCGACGTAAATTTCGCCCATTCTTCCTGCAATTGACTAATTAGCTCATTTCGTGACGTAATATTGTGTTTTCGAATTCGTTTCTCCACAAATTTCGATTGGATTGGGTCTGGTGACTGTGGGAGTACGCAACTGTCTGGAGTGTGATAGGAGTAGATATTCCTTCACAATTTTAGCTGTATGTTTCGGGTCGTTGTCTTGTTGGAAAATAAAGGTATTAGAAAGGTTTAAATTTCGGGCATGTCTCATAGATTTTTCTTCAGAATATCCCATAAACCTACTTATCCATGACTTTATCAATAATGTGAAAATTTCCAACTCCTTTCGACGACATACACCACCCATACCCACAACACCGCCAACTCCACGTTTGACAGTTGGATTTAAATTTCTCAAATTCAGTTCTGTTCCTGGTTTTAAATTTCTCAGATTCAATTCTGTTCCTGGTTTTCTCCATATAATAGGGTGGCCATTAACTTTAAATATTGTAAATTTACTTTCATCTGACCAAATTACATTGTTCCAGAAGTCCTGCGAAGATTTAAATATGTTTTGGCAAAAGCAATTCTTTTCTTTCTATTTGTCTCGGAAACGTATGGCTTAGACCTAGGTTTGCGTCCATGATAATCGGACTTTCGCAGCACTTTTCGTACAGTTTCAGGAGAAATTTCCTTGTTGCTAGCTAAAAAAATGTCTTTTGCAATGCTTGCAGCAGAAAGTTTAGGATTTTGTTTAATTCGTAAAAGAATTTTTCTTTCTTCTCTCTGCTTTAGCTTCTTCGGTCTCCCACGTCTTGGTTTTACAGCAAGACTACCAGTGTCAAGATAGTTTTGAATAACTCTTTGCACACCACAAAATGGTTTTCCAATGGTTTTACCAATATAACGAAGAGTTTACCTTCATCTCTCAATTTGATAATGAGTTGTCTCGTAACTAAAGGAATTTCTTTATTGGTTGTCATTTTCGTCAAAGAAAATAGAAGTATCAACTTCCAATCAACGTGAAATTTGCTTCGGAAGTCAATGACCTTGAAAGTGTAACCTTCTTTGCATTCTGAAGTTTGAAGTTTAAAAGTTAGATAAGAAATCCCCCGCCTCCTTCGCGTTGTACGCAAACTTTATTGGCTTTGATTTCTGGCCACTTATCTTTTAAAAATTAGTGTGCATAAATTATTAGATATGAAAATATTACAGTTAAATAATTTCGAAGTCCCTTATTGAAATTAAATATTTAAAAAGGTAAAACTTTAAGAAACTACCCTTTTCGCACCTTAAAATTTGGATTTGATATTACTTTTCTTGATGTACGCAGACTTTATTGACTAACTGTAAGTCAGCATCTTTTTCATTGTGATGAACGCGCTTGTAAACGATGCTATTTCTTTTCTTTCATAAGGTAAACCTACAAAATCAGCCTTCCCAATATTTAAGGATAATTCTTCAGCTTGTTCACCAGCGACTGGGCATTAAAAGCTGCCGAATACTGGTAGTTCGTTCCATGGTTCGAATCCCGGCGAGCAGGGTGGATGTATAGGCGCTTTCGTGGTTTTCACCATGTATAACATGGATATGAGACAGTTTCCCTTAGAAAGTTGTTCACGGGGCATCACTCCCTTTCCGTGTAGTGCCAAATGGCGAAGCACATAATATATAAAAAATGTTTTAGTTTTCTGACGCATTAGTGCGTATTTGATTACCACACATTTTTCACGCCCACTTGTAAGCAAAATGTTTTAATGATTTTCCGTTACGCATCGGTTTTATATCTTCATTTCGATTCTGCTTCGACTCACAAATAATGTCTTCGCGATTCTTCAAAACCTTGGGTAAGAGAGAAAGAGATGACTATTTCGATCACGTTACCTTCCAAAACTGATTAATTTCAAACTTCCAAAACTGATTTCGCTTCAAGGCCATGATAGAGTCGGATGTGGGTAGCCCATACTATTGAAACAAGATAAGTAATGGTTGTGTCTGTTTCTGATTTCTTTGAACAATCTTACTTTAAGTACTAATTCTGTCTTCAGGATACGCCGAGGAAAACAGAGCAGAGTCGCCGGTTTATCATCAGCTATTTCTTGGAGGACGATACCGTCAAAATTCATGAAGAGAATATTAGCAATTCCGGATTTGGCAGCGGTACCTTCTTGAACAGGTGCCGCCTGAGGAAAGATCTTGGTCCAACGCTGGAAACGACACCTTCCATCCACAAAGGAAAGAATCCTGTTTATTATGAGGCATCAGATTTCTACATTGGAGCTAAAATCAAGGCTTCTGGATCCACTTTTTTAATTCTAGATGCCGATTTAGTTGTCTTCAAATTTATGGAAAGGCATCCCGAAATTTATAAAGGTATGCTATCCAAGGCGCTATCTCGAAAAGTTAAATGTTAATTGCACGTAGGTGTTGTCATTTGATATGTCTCAGATTTCTTTTTTAGCCCAGGACAGTTAGCCAAGAAGGGCTGTTAGTCTCGAAACGGTATTTTGCGTCGAATCACTTTTCAATTTGTTGCCATCAAATATTATTGCTCTGTAATATATTTAAAGAAATTAAATAATGAAGAATCTGCATGAAATGCATGCATGTTTCTCGCATTGTGAAAAACCAATGGTACTTAGAGCCATCAAATTTTTGAATAGCGTAGTACCCGAACCGAACATGAGCACTTGGAAGTCCAAATTTTGAATTTTTTGTTTGTTTTGTTTTTGAATTTGTATACTTCATATTTCGTAAACGTTTAATGAATTTTTGATTAACAAACTCAATGATTTCAAAGCGAGCAATGGCAAAACTGTACGAAAAAAAAAATATTTTATCTCCAGCATACGAGACTTTCTATCAGAAATTCTAAAGATATGCTGTTTTGAAATATTTTTAGCTCAAAGTGACATGAAGCCAAATGCTCTCGAAACGTGTATGTGTGTTTAAATGAAAAACAAAGCTTCTTTGGGCGTTATATAAAATCTGAAAGCCTTCAGATTTTTGTTTTTAACATTAAAAACGCATTTAGCATTAATACGAAATTTTGAATAGTTACCTTCGTTACATTCAATACATTATATTATATACGCTACCATGAATATACCAGTCCCTCGCCTTTGCAATTATCATCTATTTATCTCTTTTGCTACGGTATTAAACTTAAATTTTTTTATTTATCTTCCACGTGGTCTCGTATATAACCATATTTCACAGTGTGACATTTACTAAATCATGAAACGCTTTTCGAATTTAATCAATCTCTAATTTTTTTTAACAAACTGAAAGATTTTTAAACAATAAACTCATTTTTTAATAACTTGTACCTTGACATTATATTTTATAAAACGTCTAATTTATACAAATTAAAATATACACAACTTTACTGTAGCTTTATTGTAAGATGATCTTAATCCCATATATAAGATCTCCGAAAATATTTAGCTGAATTTTATTATGATGTCTCTATGAAGCCTATATTACTTGAAATGCGTTGAAAAGTTCTTTTATTTAATTCAGTTATTCAAAACGACCACGAACAAAATTAATAATTTCCAATATATGAAATATTAACAACAGGATAGATATCATAGCAATATTTAATTTCAACCTACGGTGTTGGCAAAAACGTGTCTGAACGCTTTATGTATATTTACCTAATTATCAAATCATTCACTGTGAATTATAACGTTATTGAAAAGTCCTTAGAGGACAAGATCAGAATTTCTTGCAGGGTCCTGAGATAGGCCCATTTCTGGCACTCCACTGACCAAGAAATTAATGATTCAGCTAGTCTTGCCTATGATCCGTAAAGTGAGGGGGCGCTCTTGTCTTGTTTAAAGAAGATCTGTAACTCGGCGCTTTTTTCATCCAGTTGCTAGACTTCAGGAAACAGAAAGCTATGTTAGTTTGTCCAAGTACACAGTGAAGTTGATATTAGTTTCAAAAGTAGAAAAAAGGTTGAAAATTTTTTACCTCTGGACAATCAGGTATGATGTGTCGCAGAATTTCAGAGCCTCAAATTGGGCAGATGGAGCGAATTAGGTAACCCTACGCTTTATGTCCTGAGGTTTGATTGAATACAACAACAGGAATTTTTGAAGATGTCGCTTGATTTTATTTATCATCGATATTACAAGTGTGGTGCTTATCAGCGTCGGGCAGCAAATCCTTAAAAAGTTATTTTATTTTTATTACTTCCTTGTACAGAGGAGGTATTGTAATTGTGAAAAATTTCGGGTATCATATTTCAACGAAAATATCCATTTTGAACGTTCCAGAATCCTTTTTTTTGTTGAATACGGGCAGAGATAGGACTCAGGTTTCCAAAATGAATCGTATAATGGACTTAAAACGAATTCAAAAAGGATTTATCGTGACGCCAGTACCTACGTACGTGTGTGCATGCATATATATAAGTATCTTCGATAACTCAAAAATGACTACCCGTTGCTGAAATTTTGTTCTGTAATCAGCAGCATCCTTTTTTACTGTATCAGCAGCACATAACGTATATATATACATATACGTGTGTGTGTGTGTGTGTACATATAGTTTTATTTAGCAGTTTTTACTTGGCCTTTATTTTTGCAATCGTTTGTTGTTGTCATACACTTCCAGTTACAGAAGTGTTTTAAATGACGAAAATATTTATGTTTTGTTAATGTAGAATTAAAAAAAAAATATTAATTTTCGACAATTCGAGCTTTTAATGGCTTTTAGTTTAGTGTGCCTATACTTTATATTTTATGCTTCTGCCTCTATAGCACAAGTTTCTGAATTGTTTAACATTGTCTACTACAAAAGCCCTTCAGTTTTAAGTAGCAAGGATCAGAGGACATGGGTAGTTAATAAAATGGAAAGTCCATTGGCATAAATGCCGTTTGGAAAGATCGGGAATACTTTAGGACAAACTCCATCGTTTGGAAAAGCTCTAGTCAACCGTACATAGTTTTGCAATGTTTGCCTTTAATTTTTCATATTTAACAAACACTTCCCATATGTCCGGTTTTGTGGATAGAGCTTACATTTATGCTTTGTTAACAGGATTCATTTGAACATATTGATTGATGCCGCAGTTAAAAGAAAAATAAAATGTGATGATTAATTTTTCTCAAAAGTCTGTTGTTCGGCTCATTTCTAGAAAGGTTACTAATGAAACCATTTGCGAGATTATCTTAGTGAAAATTTGTCCAAAAAAGGGAGACTATTTATAGCAGATTCTCAACTGCAATCAAGCCCACCAGCGGCCGAACGGTAAAGTCGCTCAACACTGGTAGTTCGGCCCGAGGTTCGAATCCCGCGAACGGGCTGGCTGCATGGGCGTTTTCGTTGTTTTCCCCATGTGTAACGTGTATACGAGCCAGTTTCCCTTAGAAAGTCCTCCACGAAGGCATCCCTCCCCCTTAGGCAGATAGCCCTCGTGTGCTTTGCCGTAATTAAATACACCAACACCAAATTAAAAATAACTATTAGAAAAATGAAGTAAAACAATATCTTTATTTCAGGGTAATAAAATTGATATCTATCACGCAGTTTATTTGTTATGTATTATTAAATTGTTTCAAGATGTTATAAATAACTCTATATTAATTTTTCTTCTAATTTTTAGATATCTGCGTGAAGGAGCAACAGAAATTAGCCAATATTTTAAATGGCAAATCGGAAATCAGTCAGTAAGCATTATCTCATTTTTCAGATATTTCCAAATACTTAGCTGAATTAAAAATTATATGAAAATAAAATATTATTTGTATTTTGCTGTTCAAGTAATTTTTGAAAAATATTTTTTATTTAAAGATAAATAAAAAATATTTTTCAATCGGGCTTGCTTAGCAAACCTTTTCAAGATGCAGCAGTGTATTACCTTATAAAATGAGAGGTCCATTTCTAAGCAAGCCAGGTCGGTTTAGTGCGCTTTTTGCACGTCTCTCATTCACTCACAATAATATGCTGTAATCACACACATTTACGTATTTTACATGGGTATTTTATCTGTCTTGGTCGTAGACAATGGTCATCATTTGCTTCATCTTTTAATGCGATTGCCAAGATGAACTTCTTTTTTAGTTTGGCAGTCATGAGATTTCAACTCTGGATCAAAGTTTTAAGAGCGTGTTGTAATGATTATATTAATTTATCTAACAGTTAAACTTTGAGTTAAAGTTACTGTCCTATCTTTTCTTAATTTCAAACTTACAACTTCCGGCCAGAACGTATTTTTAGAATTGCGTTTGAATACAAATGAGGAGAAGTATTTAACTGTGAAGTTCTACTGACTTCGGGTGAGAGAACTAGTGATTCTGGCTAGCTCGCCTTATTAGGCTACTCTGTCTTAAGCTATTACTACGCTCGGCCTTACTTTCGGCTCTTGATAGCTTCGCCGTTATTTAGCATTAAGGGGCCAACTCTGTTAGAATTTTGATAGCTTCGGCTATATCTTTTTAGTTAAGATTAGTTAAGTTTAATTTCTTAGTTTTTGAGTTTAAGCCCAGGTGGAGGCTTTATTGTAAAACTCCAAGAAAGGAGTTCTGTGAAATTAATTTGGAATAATAGAGGGTCTTTAACACTTCTCAAGTTTTATTTACTGTCTCACGAACTCAAGCGATTATTCGTTTACCAGTTCTTAAGGTTCTGCAACTTTAAAGTACACGGGTTAGAATCTTACAGTTTTATCAGTAGCGATTATCTGAGATAGGTTTGCTTCATCTTCATCGTTAAATCTTCATTTCAGAAACATTGCAACTCTTCCATTCTATTTTTATTCACTAGCCAAACAGTAAACAGTAACGCATCGATCAGTTAAATTTTTTCCCCTGCAAAACTTTTACAAAATACGGTATATGGAATATTGCAGAAATCCCTACAGCCTCTGAAATTTCCCCATACGTCGCTTGAAAATAATCAGTCTCATGTTTTTTTTATTTCCACAGCTGCTTATTCTCTCAATTCAGGCGGAAGACTCCCGATCGTCGACCATATTCTCGCCAATCCGATATAACATATATTTGTTTCGGCTTTCTCGAATTCTTTAAATTTGTCGCGAGCTTAAAGTAGCTCTTTCGTTATTTTCACCTAAAATACACGATTCCTGATATGTCAGATTGTTTGGTTCTTTTTTATATTACACATAAATGAGAAGTCGTAAAGTATTGTTTCCCTCTTTGCCATGTGTTTTTGTAGTGTAGCAGTCAGACGGTCCAGAGTTCGCACTGATTTAATCGCCCTTTAGGGAGAATGTAAGTGATGATCCTTTAAATGAGGGAGTACTGCGCGCCTTCTTGGTATGGTAGGAAGTATATCCGGCTAGAAATCGAGAGTCCACTGTTCGAGTCCTATCTAAAGTACAGTACATTCTTGACGTTTCTTGCATCTGGAAAGTAAGACCGTTTCTTCAATCACGCAGTATAACGTGCTATTACTATGCGTACCTAAAAACGTCGAACTACAGTGCATTCTCTTCGCCCGCAAAAAGAAGTTAAACATTTATGTACTTTTCAAAATCACATTCAGACGATTTTCCTTGATTTACTATATCAGGGAAAAAAACACAGGCCTGTGTGACAATTTGCTGAGGACGGTGTTTTTTTAGATAAAGTAAAATCTGCGGCTGTTGTTAACAATTGATCAATTCTGGTTAGAGTATAATTTTTCTGTTAAGAAGTATTATTAATAAACTCTTTATTTACTTTCATATATTGTTGTGTCATTTGCGTCTAAGAAGAAATGGTTGAGCTTTCAGTTATTAATTAAATACGTAGTTCATTATTTCAGAAATTACTTCTTTGTATTCGCTGATCAATTATCTTTATTTCTTCGACAAATTTTCCAATTTTTATGTTTTGTATATTGATAACTCTTAACTTTGACGTTTGATCTTTGGTCTTTTGATATTTTTACCTTCATAGACAAAAAATAATCTTCTGTACTGATAAGTTCTTCAAGAATACAATAATCTGCTGGGTGATTACACTTTGATACACTGCCTGATGCCACAAACACCATGCACTTTGCAATCAAAAATCAACCGCAGTCGTCATGTACAAACATCATTGCGAATTTCTGGTGTTTTGCCTCGCAATCTTTCTTTGTATTCTGATGCATAAATTTTGAAATTCAGCCACAATAGCTAAGATGCTTGACATTCAAAATCTCATAATTTCAGAGCAGCTTACGCATACTAGAGAACTGAAAACACATAGCTGCTGCTTCAGGAACTCGCTAAATTTGGCATAACTATTGCAACAATTGCACTATTTATGCCTTTCATCTATCAAATTGGGCATTTGGAATGATCTAACATACTTTACATGCCAAAATTAATGGATTCTGGAAAAAAAAAAAAAAAAAAAAAAAACATGTACGAGAAACCATGCTTTTAGGCTACAAGTAATTTTCATCTAATTCTTAATTTATATATGCCATTAAATAATATACCTTATGAAAGCTAATCTTAATTTCTTGCCTTAGTTCACAAAGGATGCATTTACTAGATGATTTGAGAGAAGACGTATTGAAAAATTACGGACCCTCCTCCTATCCCATTCCCGAGTCACTGGATCTGCGACTGGATTTTTGTTCTCGAGAGCTAGCAGAGCAACGGATTTATTCTGCCAATCTTCCGATCAACAGAGCACTGATCAATAAGGTACAAAATTTTATTCATTGTGTAGCTGATATTTATGTTTATGCAATATTATGCTTTTAATATCACTAGTTACTTGTATTGTTATTTATATGGGCTACTTTCATATGCGCTGTATATTATTATTTTGTTCAGTGTTACAATTTAGGCCCGAATGCTTTGCAAGAGTACTATAATGAGATTATTAAAGTTTATTCTAGGATAAAGAATATAGGTGGCAATACGATACAGAAACATTACTGCTCAGGGTCGATGGCATGTATGTCGGAATATGATTAACAGGACAGTTCAGTAACTATTTTGATCCCTTGCCAGTGTCTAATGTTGACAATGGTGCTGATTCTGCACATTGTCAACCTTATGCCATGGCTATTCTATGCAAATACTCGAAAGGTTATGCAGAGTTATATATAAAGTCAACCCATTACATATACCGTTTAATAAATCAGCCTTTGCTAAATGTAAGCATTTTCTGCTTTATGACAATGTCGAGTATATGCCGGTATCCGTTCTGTGAAGAGTCAGCTCTGCATCGATCCTGCGCTGTGTCGATAAGATGCCAGTGGCGATCCTAAGTTTTGTCGATTATATGTCTGCACATGTGCCAAAATGCATTAATTCTCTTACACATCATTTATCAAAATAATTTTTTAACGTATGCATCATATATCGGTGCTGATTTTATGCCGTATCGAAGCATACCTGCAAAAAATTTAAAATTTTTATTCAAAATTTCCTAAGATATACGTGACTTTACATATTGGCGGTTTTTGAAATTTGGCATAGTTGTCAAAAGCGATAAAACAACAAATGTGGCGTAGGCACTTTGTTAAAGTTATTTGAAAGTATGAATGATGAACTTTTTCCGTCGTGTACAATGAAAAAAGCAAAGGAAATAGATTGCTATAAATTAAGAATGTCACCAAGTGAATTATTCTCGGCGCAAACTGAAAAAAATGGACAAGATAAATTTTTTAATTTCTCCATAAATTTCTCACCAAAATTAAAAAATTTAATATCTAAGTATAATTAGAGTCGTAGAATCGAAATATGAAAAAATTAGTATGTTATTTCAGAAAAAGTCCGATTTTGAGTCAAAATACCTAGGTTAAAACAAATGCTATATATAAATCTAATATATATCCTAAGTCGTGCTTTCGAGACGGGGGAAACGCAAGTTAAATTTCGACTATCGGTCCAGTAGAACGGAAGATATAGAACTGTCTCATATTCTTTTGTACAAGATGTACCTGCAAAATATCCCTAAGCGGGACTGTTTCAGTTATAAACCTCCTTGTTCAAAGTAGTGCTAGGAGAAACCGGTTTAGAAGAGGTTAAAGAAATCAAGTATGAATTCTATATCTTTCAGATAAGTTATGTACGTTAAAAATGATTAAAATGAATTAAGAAAATATTTCTTTTAACTTACTTCTAGATAGTGAGAAATATTACTCTATTCACTGTTTGCTAATCGTTTGTGATTCATTACAGCTCTTAGACACTTTCACCTTTAAGGAAAAAACGGACTTAAGGGAAGTTCGAACGTTCCTCCTAGTAGCTCTCGGACACGATCGAGAACACTAGAAAGTATGCGACGAAACTATGAAAAAAATTATGAATAAAATCAAGAAATTTTATATTTGACTGGGTTCGTAACAATTCTTAGAAATAGATAAACCAATTTTGTTTCCTTCCAGTTATGCATTTCGTGGAATAAAATTTAGCCTTTGATGTTGTACTGTATTATTATTGATAATATACAACACCACGTTATAGGAATCATTTAGTAATTAATACTATAGAAGGCACGAATACTAAATTTTCACAAAAAAAAAAAAAAAAAAAAAAAAAAAAAATCTTAATTTCGAAAGATTCTCTAGTTTTTTTAATCTCGAATTCTTCACCTAAAATGAGGAAAAGAAAAGAGAAAAGAACTTTTACTAAATATCAAAATTTTTGAAATCCAATTTGAAATTTGCATTTAACTGAAAAGGTTTAGAATTAAATTAAAAAATATACATATATAGTATTAAAAAGGCATATAATTAAATTTAGAAGCCTATATTTGGAATTCTCGAATTTGGAAGTTCGTCTTCTCAATATAGTTTAATAAAAGCATATTTGAGTAACATTTCCGATTTTTTTAAATTTTGGAAAATTTATTTAAATAAAAATATGCTCAGAGGGAATAGGATTATTTCAAGAGTTTTATACAGGTAAATTTTAAACTGCGAACTTCTCTCCGCAAATTCTCCCCGTAAAATAAAGAGCGGGGGAATTGGGACGATTTGAAGTTATACTGGAGATAAGAACCACCAAAACTTCAACAAACCACATTTTTTAAAGTAATTTTCTGTTATTCATGAGTCAATAAATAATATTCCGAGAGATTCAAAAGATTCAAATGAAAAAAAAAAAAAAAAAAAAAAAAAAAAAAAAAAAAAAGATTCTCTAACTTTGTTCGAGATTCGAAGGATTCGAGAACTGGAGGATTCGAATGGTCCATCCCTACCTAGAACAGAATGAATCCCCTATATTGTAACCATCAGGAATATTTGAGAGATTCGTATAACTGAGTTAAACTTATTTTTAAAGTTAAATTAATATAATAAATACAGTGTAATTGAGGTAATTTCCTGTCTTTCATGGACCGTACGTCTTTTTTTAGTAATTTATTGTAGCTAAAAATGCATTTTCAAGCCAGGCGCTTAATTACGGCTTCTACGGGACAAGACCTCATTCGGCTAAACGAATAGCCTATTAGTCCAAATAAGCGTAGAAAATAACATCAGTCAACAAATCACAATACAAAATAAGATCTAACAAATCAGATATTTATTAAACAATTATTTTTTATGCTACAAAAACTGAGAATTTTCCTTAAGAGTTCTTTTATTAAAAGAAAACCATGCCGATTCTTCACGGCGGACATATCACTGGTAGTGGAGTTATTTTGATTTTCTATATACAGTGAAACTTAAGTTTATGAACTTAGTTCCTGAAGCCCGATCGTCATTCGAAATGTTCGTATACTGAAACTATTTTTCCCATAGGAATTAACGTAA